GCTGAGGCGTTCGCACAACATGCGGCCCGGCCGGACTCTGCACTGGCGGCATGACCAATCGATTCTCGCCGCCCTTCTTCTTTGGCGTCTTCACGCCGCCCTTCTTGTTCAGGTTTATGTGGTACTTGAGGTCGTGTGGCAGCTGATCCCTCTGGGCCAGCATTCCGTAGATTTCCAGTGTGATCTACAATGAGAATACATCAATTAAAGGCGCTCGATGCCAAAGAAAATGCTTCGAACTAACCCGAAAGTCGGCATAGACATTGTTTAGCTGGAGAACATCGGGAAACTTAACGGACACCAGTCCGGGCATGGTCGGCACCGTCTTGGTGGCCAGCACGTGCTCGTTGTACTTAAGAAGACACACGAGATGATGGCCGTTGATGCTGCCCGATGCCATTTTGCGCAAGTACTCATGCCGCAGCGGAATGGTAATGTCCTTGACAGTCAGCAGACCCTTTTCCTTTGGTGCACCCACGGGTCGGACGCTGTTTTCCACACGCAAACGCTGCACCTCATCCAGGCAGGACTGTCGACGATGGGCTGTAAGAGTGGGTGGGCTTTAGTGGGGGACATTCACATCTATGTACATAGAAGATCTACGCAAAACGAGACTCACTTGCCAGCAACAGATACCGCTCTCCCTCTACAGACTCTGTGGAGCCGGAGAACTCCACGGTAGCTGCGCACAAATTCAGAGCTTGACTGGCTTGACCAATAACCTGTTGCTGCTTGCACACTTCGCTCAACAACTTTTTGATCTTGTCCTGGGCCTGTGTGGCATCATTGGAGTCACGCGCATTCTGCTGCTCCTCGTCATCGTCATCGTCATCTGTGTGGTCATCCATGATGGCCCCGGCCCCGTCGACTGCATCCGCCATGCTGCCTTGCTGGGGTGAATCATATTCCAGCTTGTGCTTGGCATGGCAGTCGCCAGCCAAAGCCGATCGCATCACTTGCTGTTCGCGACATATCTTGCGGACTGGTGTAGAGCTCGAACTCTGAAGAAGAATCAAAGATTAGGCACACGCTAATACGAAGGGCAAGGTTATGGTTATGGGTAGGTAACGCACATTTGCACTCTGCTGACGGCGATAGAAGCTCACTGTGTGTACCAGTGTCACCAGGTTGTCGTTATCCTGGTTCACGCTCAGCTCCGACCTGACAGGCTGGGCCCCGCTCAAAAGCGGCGTCTGCACGTCCATGAGCTCCTGCTGCTCGCTTATGGGCAGACAAGTCGTTGAAGCCGAGTTCTTTCGGAAGGAGAAGCTGTTTGAGGCAGTTGTACCCTTGCTCTGTTGAGACGACTAAAAGTGAGTGGGGAAAATATATGCAAACATTGAGGAAAACTTACACCCAGCGATAGGTGACTGGAGTTGTGCCCGTCCGCGCCATCGCTGTCATCATCCTGAGTGCTTCCATAGTCTTCGACCAGCGCCTCATCCAGATAGTCATCAATGCCCGCTGAGACCTGCGACGAGTTAAGCGAACTGTCCTCCTGTCCGTCGTGGTTGTAGTAGAAGTCCTGATCGGCATAGCGCACAGTCTGCAAAGGACAATGAGATTAGTTGAGACCACCCGCTGAGCCAAGAGTTTTCTACCTGGGCTGTACTCACCTTCTTGCCTTGCTGCTGCTGCTGGATATCCGCCTCATTGCGCTGCACTGCGTTCATTATCTCGCGACCCAAGCTGCCATTGCACATGCCGGTGCTGCTGTCCTCAGTCTGCGACTGGTCCTCCGACTCATCCATGCAACTGCACGAATCAAAGATAAGCGGTTAGTTAAGCAATATTTTTATTGTTGGCCTTGTCTAGTGGGAATTAAAGCTATGTGAGGGCTAGATGAGAGGGGGGCTATGGCTGCATCAGTCAATCAGTCAAAGGGGCGAATAACAACCATCTATTCAATGCAGAGAAAGAAAAGCAAGCAGGAGTAGCATTTGTCAGCGCACCTTTCAGTTTCGTCTTCCTCCTGATGATCACTGTCGTCGGTGGCTGTGGCCGTTACCGTCGCACAGCAGTTGTCCCCGCTGGAGTCGAGGTCGGAGAGTGCAGGATAGAGACGCTCTGAGTTCGATTTGCGAGCGCGTTTCGACTCCTCGTCAATAATTGGCGTATCGCCAGCTGAAATAACAAGAGTGTCAGCTAGAAGGCTATTTGGACGGACGCCTAACGTTAATCGTGGCTTACGTGAGCGCCTCTTGCTGCTGGCTAGGGCAGGAGAGACCCCGGACACTGGCGGCGGTGGCGGCGGCGGCATGGGCCGTGTCACCTTATTGGTAGCTGTCACCGGTAATGACGCTGGTGTCGCCGTCGTCGTCGACGCTGGATGTGGAACAAACAGTTCCTTCTGTTTGTTGAAGCGATTCGCAATGATTTGCATGTCTTCCTGGCGCTGCCTATCAATATCCTTGATGCGGCTCTCCGCACTGGACTGAGCATTAGCCACAAGGGCGGCCACTTTGTCGCGCAGCTTGTTCTCTGGCTTGGGCTTCTGAGCCGCCACAGTGCTCACAGTGGAAGAGACAGCAGCCGCTGTTACAGGATGCACAGCGGCAACATGGGCTATGGGTTTAGGAAAAGATGCAATGGAAGTTGGAGGTATTATTCTACAGAAAGCGCACTCACCCTTCGACTCCTCGGGTCTCATCTGACTGATGCTGGGTGCAGATCCTATTGGAGCTTTCGGCAGCATGGCCTTATTGTTGCCGGTTTCAAACAGCTTCATGCGCTCCTTCAGCGACAACTCGCATGGATCTTTTTGAAAGCGGTGCCCTCCTTGCATCTGCCCCGTCTTATTTTCAAAGATTGCCGCACGCCCCGAGACCAAGCCAGACTTGATGCTCGGCCCAGAGACAGGAGCCACTTTCGGAAGTACCGGCGCCGAAGTTGTGGACCCGAAAGTCTTGGCCACTTTGCTGACCGTCGTCGATTTGTCCGGCACTGGAGGCTTGGCACTGGTGGTAACAGTGGCAGTGGGCGCCGCCTCTCCCTGTTTTGCATAATCATAGGTATGTTTAATGGTGGAGGAATCACGGCGCTGAAAACCTTGAGCCTCCAATGAGCTCAGTACCTTGGGGTCCCATTTCAATTCCTTTGTTTTGCCGCCTTCGTCGATCTCTTCTCGCTTAGGCGGTTGCGGGGCAGGTCCTTTCTCTCCCCGCCGGCTGGGCAAATCAGGTTTGGGCGGGGCCACTGCCCCTGATTCAATGGGTCTGTGCACATCGTGATGTGCTGTGTCGTCCTCCCACTGGTTGATAGTGTCGGCGAGGGCAGCCAGTTTTCCTAATCGCTGTTTGCCCTGACGGGGACAGCGACGACTTGAGTCGTCGTCGTCGTCACCTGCATGGAACTGCGCCTCCGTACGATGTATCGGGGAGGACAGGTCGGCAGTGTTAGAGTACAAGTCACCCATACGCTTCAATTGAGTCCTCGAGGTGTCCCGCAATCGTGCCAGCGGTTGATTGATGGCCTGAACTTGATTATCGACTGCATCGCCAGGCGCCTCCTCGTCGTCCGTCACATCTTGCTCTTGAATTTCAACTTGAACCTAGTGGAATGTACATACATATGCGTGAAACATCAAGCAGCAAGAGGGAATTCAACGACAAAGGCCACCAGCAAAACGTATAGCAGCGAGACAAGGACGTGGCCACGGGAATGATGACGAGGAAATGAGGCCTGAGGAAGTGAAAAACTTACCCCAATTGCCTTGGCTGACGTTATGTTTATCTCGATACCCATTTCCATGTTTTCTTTGTTGACGGCCGTATAGTGACGGACCGGCTTGGTCGGCGATGCCTCCAACATTGCCTTGTCCAGGATCACAACTTTGCCTCCGCCGTTGCTGCTGGTGATACTTTGGCCTGCTGGTGAGCGGCTCCTGTTGGGCGTGAGCTTCGTGGGTCTCAAATTTGTGGATGCCGACGATGACGCTACACTGCATTCGGTCAAGGGAAATTGGCTAGCGTTGCTGATGCCAAGCGCGCGACTGCGCTGTTCTGCCTTTTCGAGCATGTGCTGGAAATTGCAACACAAACAAAAATGCAAATGCAGTTAGACAAAGGGCTTCATTGTGTGCACGCGCGGCCAAAACCTTGTACCTGAGTAAAGGGGTCCATTTTTGTTGTTGCTGCTGCTGCTGCTGATGATGCTGTGAATCCAAATATTTATTGCGCGCACTTCAAATATTGTTTATTCTACTAGCACTAAACAATTTTATTTCTTTCCGTGTTGTATTTATATATTTTTTTTTTTTCTGACGCTGTACGCGTCCGTTGTTGTTCGAAATTATGCGCGTCGCTTTTTTTTCGGCGGTGGAATAGGGATGAGGTATCAGTATATCGATATACTTTTGGACTGATGTGTTTTAATGTGATATATTGAATCAACGAAACTACTTTGCTGTGTTGGATGAAAATGTACACTATTTATAACTTCTTTCACATTGAGATATCAGATATATCAACTTTTGTTTGTACTTATCGAACTTACTTATATAAAAGTTCGGTATTTCTGTGCGATGAGCATTACTATCGCCGTTTAGTTTAAAAAATCAGAACAGTTTCGATGTCATCCAAGAGTCACGCCACGATCATACAAATTAATTACACTTACTTAAAGTAAAATATCTATTGCATAATTCTGTCCATATATGTCTGCAGTGAATTGTTTCTGTTATGTTTACATACTTTACATTTCTAAATGAATTGTATAACTTGATTTTCTGTTGCCTAAATATACGTTCGTATTTCTTTTTCGTCGGTGGAAGTCTGGGCTGCAAGATCATAAATCGTATTGCTTGTCTTGAGTAGCTCTTACTAAGCCTTTGCTGTATGGATCATAGGAGTTCACCAGAACTCAAAACATGGTCGATGCAATGGAACATGGTTTGGTAAGCAAGCTGTAAAGAAACAGTTCTTTAAAGAACTAGCAGTCGGAATTCTGAGATTATTATTTTACTGCTATCGATATTGCTATCGAGTATCGAACAATTGCAAGTAGCGATGATTAAATTTAATAATCATTGAAATGCAGACAAAGCGAACGCTACTAAAGAGAGAATATATAACAAATTATAGTAGAGTAAGGTAAGTAGCGTAAAATTGTTTGCAAAGCGATGGAGAAAAACGAAAAAAAGATGCTAGTTCGATGCCAGCAATCAAATATGACCCCTTTCAGTGATGACTATTTTGGCTTTTGATATAGCGGAAAAAAGCTAACATACAAATTGTTTTAAATGGAAACCATTCCAGATATGGCCGAGCAAAACACAGTAGACTTTCTATGGAACTTAGCAAACAAACTGAGCGCACAATCACACTCCGAAAAGCTGGTAAAATCGCATTACATGTAAGTGGTATACGTTGATCCTCTTCCGAATTCAGAACTCAATCCGCATTGATTGCAGTACCACATGTCGAAAGTTCGCCAGGCACAACGTACAACTGCCCGAAGACAGCTTTGGAGCGGCACGGCTATGCGCCCGCTGTGGAAGCCCGTGGACCGATGGCAACTACCGGCTTCAACTGCAGCCCCAGCGCCTGGCGGACACTGCCAAAAGAAAACGACTCATTGCAAGGTTTGAAACGGCCAAGGCGAGTCAACAGAAGGGCATGCTGAGCACTGCGGCGAGGAATCGGGCCAAGTGGCTGAGGAAGCACATGGCCAGTAACATTGTGAGTGGCAGAATCTTCGAATGGATGGAACGCCCTAAAGCTAAATCGAATTCTGTTTCAGGTTGTGGGCTGCGCCGTTTGTCAGAACAAGACAATGCTGCCACTCGAGAAGCGAAAGGGGAAGAAACGGGCGAAAGCCAACGATGAAACAATAGAAGACCCAACGGCGACGGCGCTTGGAATGGATGCAGCCACAAACCAACAGAAAGGGAACAAGAAGAAGGTCCGGAATAAAGAAATGAAAGCAATTAACCCGAAGATTTCACAGCAGAAAAAAGCAAAGGCGCCTTCAACTCCAGCACGCCCCTCGAAATCGATCCATTCTGCCGGTGCCAAACGCCAAACAACAAAGCAGAAGAAAACAAAAACGAAAGCAGCGCAGTCAGCGCCAGGCTCGAAAACGCAGAAACAAAACGCGTTGTTGCATCTGGCGGCTCAGCTGAAGTCGCACGCGTTTAAAGACGCGAGCAAGTCGCAGCAGAACCGCTTGCAAGCGTTCCTCAAGTAGCGTGCCAAGCTATAGCGAATAGCGCTTGCCAATGGACTAAAGTACACAAGATTGTTGTTTAGTTGAATGAAAATACTTGTTATTGCACATAATTAAGCGTTAGCACAATACTAAACCCATTGGGGCATGAATCAGAGTCTTTGTGGTGCTGAACGGGCAGAGATCGAATCGATGGTTGCCACGGCAGGCCCCATTATTGAACCAGAGCTAGCAAGCGACTGTCTGGCTGGCCTCTTGATAAAAATAAGCTCAATGTGGGAACCTGTTATCCAGCCCAGCCTGGGTCGAGTCACGCAACGGCAATGGAGTTATCACTGCTGCAGTTGGAGCAACATTGCTGCTGCTGCTGCTGGGACTACCATCAAGACGTCCAGACTCAAGGTTGCCAAGGTATTGCGCAGCGAACAGGGCCAGAATATTTAATTTATTTCTCGGAGGGCAACATTTAATTAAAATTGAGTTGTTTGCTATAGCCTTGTCTCCTCGTCCACGTCCTTCATGGTGCTTCCAAAAAAGGGAACCAACTAAGCTCCAAATGCACAAAGAGCACGGACAGCCGCAGGTTGGCTTCCCTGCTCATTCGAAGAAGGCTCTCGGATTTCTTCTTGGCCACAGAGAAAAAGCAGCAGCAGCTGCGGCAACAACATCTGCCTGCTACCGCTTTCTTGTTGGCTGCGCACATTAGAAGATTTCTGGTTATTTTTATTTAAGTTGCTTTTGGCATGGGTAGTGGTGGAGCCTTTTTTGGTCGCACCGATTTTGGTCATGATGGTCTCTAAAATATGGTATCAAAGGCGAGGAACAGCAAACAGATCTTTTGGGTAGAGTAGATGGATGTTGGCTTGGCACTAGGACTGTCCCAAACTAAGCTTTGGCATCCACTAACGTGCCGGCCGGCTTTCCATCTGCGGGTCCAGCGCTTCTATAAAACGAAACGAAACGTAATAAAATTATTTGCAAAAACACACTCTCTCGCAGAGAAGAAAGCCAGACCCGAATGGGCCCCTCGTCGTGCGCTCGGCTCTGGGGCTGCTCCAACTGCGAGACAGTCTACAGCCAAATCGAGCTGCGGTTGTCAGTTGGTTCTCGCGCACCGAACAAGCTGGTTCTTTACTCAGTGTCGTCGCGGTCAGAGCGGGGTGATGATGGCCGACGCTCGTTCTTAGGCTACTGCAGAAAAAGTAACAGAGGACGGAAACGAAAAGGTGTCAACGTAGTCAGTGCAAACAAGCACAAAGTGTCACCGTGTGCTTAAAAGCCAAACAGAACGGAAAACCGGATGAAAAACTAAAGTCTGCGTGGATACGAAACATTTCGTAATTGTGGGTACGGGGTTGCAGGAAGGCGAGCCGGAAAATGACCGGAAATGCACTCGGAGCTATGGATAGAGAGAGAGAGAGAGAGAGAGATAGACGACGACGACGACGTGACCAACAGACAGATACGCCTGCGCACAGGCCATTACCCCGTTTCAATGCCGGAAAAGCCTCTAAGAACACGAATACTAACCATTTATGGGGATAATATTCGTCGAAAAGCAACAGTCTAGCCTAACCAATTTCATAGAATATCTCTGTCCAGAACAAACAGAAGTATAGGGTCTGGTTTCAAATGCGTGTGTTCAATCAATAAATATAAATGTTAATGGCGCCGATAAATTGCGATTCCATCGTGCAACAACAACACTTCACGGCCGCCAGTAGCAAATAATATTACAATTTCTGTTTTACGGTGCTATTTTAAACTAAAAAGTAAAAGCTCGTACCCACAGCAAGTGCTGTGTGATGGGAGAGATGGTCAGGCGGTCAGCACTTGACACTGCATTCATTTTCATGGCATTGGCGAAGCTCTTTGTCTCTTTCCGGCTACGACACGCGTCGCCCCATTCAAATGAGTCACAATGAAAAGGCTTGGCCGGAGGAGGCCCAGGCCAAGCTACTGCCCCGTGTGTGTGTGTGTGTGTGTGTGTATTTGTGCGTGTATGTGATGAACATACATACATATAACTGTGTTCAGTTCTTAGCCACACACCAGTGGAAACCGCAAGTGACAGAGGAGGCATACATAGAGATACAATATACGATAGGATAGATACAGAGACTTACTTGGCATACACCTAGCCAAGTGCACCGTGGCTTTGGGCGCCCGAAACAGATTTCGTAATAGCGTTTAATGACAGAGAGAGTACGTACATATAGGCATACAATATAAGCATATATGTACATATGTACACTCTCGATCCGCTTTATATACTGCATAGTTAAGTGGGGAAGAAATACGGAAAGCATAACGTCATCAGCCGTTGATTTTCCATGAGGCGGCAACCCAAGCGTGCAACCCGAGCCAAAAAAAAAAAAAAACAAATTTAAAATGAAAATGACAACAAAAAAACGCGATTCGAGCGCATTACAAATTGTATTGTGCTTCGACGCGTAGCTGTTAGGCGATAGAATCAAGTGGTGCCCCCGAGGCTCCGATAGTTCATCTATTAATAGACCAAACTAAGCAGACAATGCAGTCAAGGACCACAGCGGGATGCTCGTCTGCGCCCTGGGGGAGATGTAATCTCAACGGGCAGATCGGAGCGGCAGAGATCATCCAGCAACACCTTCAGTAGCTTGTCAGTTCCGTCTCTGCCAGTGCGTGTGTGTGTCGTGTTTACCATAATACTGTCTATATTTTTTGTCAGTGCAGCCCACTGTAGCGCCATAGTGTTTCCCTTCGTGATACCCCCCAAATTGCCCACCACGAGCCCAATATAAACAGTGCATGTGATCTTATAAAATGTGTTATCTACTTTTGACAGCAAACTGTTAATTTCAAAGGCAAAAAGGCAAAACTGTGTGCATTCGATGAACATGCCAGATCCGAACAAAAATAAAACAACAACCGCCAAAGAAGCCACAATAAAACCCGAGCGAGAAATCAAACGATCTACAGAACAAGCATTCAACGCACATTAACGCGAAACGCTTCAAATTAACACTAAAAAAAACAAAAATAAAATCAAAATGGATACAATGGCGACTACTAAACGGCCCGAAATGGAACAGTTTTTGTTGGGTAAGGTGTAGCCAAAGTGAGCAAAAAAATTCAAATCACTTACTGGCAGATTCAACACTCAATCTTTGTTACAAAAGTATACCCGGTAAAAAAGTTAAACAACATTTCTTATACATACATGTGTATGCGTGCCTTGAGCCTGCCCGCCCGGAGCGTAGTACACCCCAGACAGAACAGAGGAGAGCAGAACAAGCGATTTCCAACAGAATCTTCAATCCACAAACTTTAATAATAACCCAATGTAGTATTGACTCATTCCACGACGCCCCACCGCAGCAGGGTTGGAAGGGGCCAACGCTTAAATACGCTTTTGTTCTGGCTCTCTGTGTCGTGCTCATGCTCCTCATGCTCATGCTCTTGTTATTTGTTCTTTTTCTGCGGCATACGAGTATTGTGTACACTTTCAACGAAGGCGTTTGAACGCTGTTCCATCGCAACATGCATATATGTACGTATGTATGTATGTACATACGTATACTTTCACATTCGGATACAAGTTCGGATGCCCGCAAGGTATACATAAATATGTACATACTTATGTATGTACAATAAAAAGAGGATAAACTAAGCTCAAAGCTCTTGTTTAAGCCTCCGTTTCTGGGCTTAATTTGAAGTTCTGCGCTTTGGCAGTGAGAAAGATGAAGGGCGTAGTATAGGGAACCATATCAAAAGTTGAAGCGGTGCAAGGAAAGCAATCATTACAGTTTTCATTCAAATTCATCTCAGTTTGTGGAAGTTCCCAACTGCAAAAGATTTATACTATCGAATTGAGAAGTCTAAGGGAAATTTTTCTTTGAATGCTCATTATAAAATACATACATATGTACACATGCATGGAAGCCAGGAGTTCAGGATAAACGGGAAAGACTGTTTCATGGGTCCTCTTCGGTAACTGGCATTGAATATTTTTAAAAGATAATCTCTTGTTCGATTCTCCATCTACAAACTTCAAAACTGGGGCTGGTGCCTTGTTCCCATAAACAGACGTATTTCGATTACCAACGACTTCTCCAGAGCTTGCGTGCTCAAATTTTAACAAGATTTCTTGCAAATTTCTTTGCTTCTCGGTTTACAGTTAAATAAATAATTTGTATGTATGTGAATTATGTACATATGTGTGTATGTATGTAAGTACCACAAAAACTGCTTAGCAAAGGAAGGGGAGGAGGAGGAGGTGGAGGTGGAGAGAAGAACAAAATAATAAAAAACGCAGACGTAGAGTTAACTTTCTTGGTCAGTGAAATTATTTTTAATTGCCGCGGTCAATTCGCAGTTGACTCTTGAGCGAGAGCTTATGAGGTCATTCATGTGTAGTTGTTGGGCTGGGTATGGGTATGGGCATGGGACTGGGTCTGGTACTGGTACTGATACCAGTCCAGAGCAATTAACTGAACCATGTCTTCTCCGCTTCCTGCCTTGCTCTGAGCTGAGTCACTGCAAAAGACACTGCCCCAAGCTAATTGCCCTCCGCAGACAGCAGCAGCGTCTATGGAAATGCCTTGGCTCTTGCTCAATTGCTCAACGGCTCAATGGCTGGCGGGGAAGATGCAGAGGCAGAGACAGAGACAGAGGCAGAGGCAGGCTATTAAGGGCAATGATGCGTTTCGAAATGAATGGCTAATAGGCCGCCACCATATTTAGCAAGAATAGAACATTAGATCTCATGGCGGTGATCTTTTTCGTTGCAGATGTGCGCGCCCACTTTCGTGCATCGCTGGAGACATCAGAGTACGAGAACACCTCGAATCTCTTCCACATGACGGCCGCAGAGCAGACGGCGGAGTTGCTGGAGCGCTGCGAACTGCTGCTGGCGGGCTACGCCGACGGAGATGGAGATGCAAACACAGACGACCAGGTGCCAGCCCCAAACATCAAGTCAAATGGGAATGGGAATGGGAATGTAATGGGCGACCGTGTCGATAGCAAAGTGGGCGCGGAGACCGGTCCTAGTTGCTATCTGGAGATGTTGTCCTCGCCATCGTCGTCCAAGAACTCGCGTGAGTGAAGAACGGGCAGAGTTAATTGCCTGGAACCTCCAATAATTAGTAATTACAACTAATTGCAGTATCCGCCTCGCGGGAGTATATCGATCTGAGCAGCAGTTGCTCCTTGGACAGCGACAAGACTTTTCGCTTCTCCGCCAAACAACCGGGACCAGGAGCAGCTGCTAAGGATGATAGGGAGCAGCAGCTGTATGAGACCTGCCATAGGCAGGACCAGAGCCCGGACCAGGTCGAGGACGAGGCGCAAAAGGCCATACCCTTCAGCCATGAGCTGATCATTGACTGTCCCTATGCCGACCTTCCCGCCGGACACCTGGCCCTGCAGAGATCCAATAAATACGGACAGCTTCAGCGAATCGTGCCCAAGCGGTTGTTTTTTGACCAGACCAGAAAGTGCTACTGCGGCATCCTCAACGAGTGGATGCTGTGCTATGCGGACGGTCCGACTGCCTGCCGGCCCAGCAGCTGTCTCTACCTAAAGAGCTCCGCCATAGAGATTGAGCACTTTGGCGAGGGGAAGCGGCGCGACATCTGCTTCCAGATAACCACCGACGATCCCAACAAGAAGTACGTCTACCAGGCCAACAATGAGGTCGATGCCAAAGAGTGGATCCACGCCATTGAGGCGGCCATACGTGGCGATGCCACCAGCACTGTACACCAGTCCCTGAAGAACCCGCTCCCACGCAAGCTGCCCACACCGCCAGTCACGAAGAGGACAAACTACCCAACCACGCCCACAGCGACGGATAGTATTTACGAGGAGCCCTCGCCCATTTACAACCTTAGCGTGGATCTATCGGGGACGCCACCCAGACTGCCCGAAAAGACCCACAGTCCCAGCTCTCTGGCCAGGCGCTTCGAGTATGACGTGCCAAAGTGCCCGCCGCAGCCGCTGGAGGAGGCGACCAAATCCGTCGGCGAGGCGGAAATTATGGTGCTACTAAGTGAGGGCGAATCCAAAGCACAGCCACAGCCACAAGCGTCCAGTCTGCACGGCAGTCTGGCAATGGACTTCCAGGCCAAAGTGAAGACCGTCCACAGTGAGCTGTCTAGTCAGCTGACAGCGGGCGGGCCCAGTCCGGAGCGCCTGAAAAAGGCCGTGAAGAAGAGCTACTCATGCGCAAGCAACAGCAGCGATTCGGAAATGCTATCGTTGTCGCTGACGAGTCCTGCCCAAAGCCCAAACAACAAGGAGCAGAAGAAGCAACGCAAGTCTCAGACATCCGCACAGACGAGTCCGCAGAAGGCGGCGACCACGCCCGTGAAGGACTGTGATAAACTGGCGAGGAATTGGTTTCTCAGTCGCCTCAATAAGTCCACAGGACAGAAGACAGCGACCACGGCCAGCGCGGCCCCCGGCAATACCAAGTGCAAGCAGAGCGAGAAGGAGAATCTGCTGACAGATCCGGATCTCGGAGAGGGCTACGGCTTCGATGGCGGGGTCTCTGGCGAACGCGACCCGAGTCTGTCGATCAGCAAGCCCACCTCCCCCTGCCTTAAGGCCGAGGCCAAGAGCAAAGTGAACATGATCATCAATCAGTTCGAGAGCAGCGGCCATCTGTCCACCATGTTCAGTGTGGAGGCGCTGGCGGCGAATGCGCTGGCCTCGCTCACCTCCTTCTGCGACGGCGACAGCTGCAACAACTACGAGCCCATCATGCCACTCTCCACACCGCCCAGCAGCTTCCTCAAGAAGGTGTAGACACAGTCCAAGGCCAAGAGCACATGTTCATCTTTGCGTTCGCTTTATCCCATCCATCCCCATCTCCAGATGTATTGTAGATTTAGTCCCTAAGCTAGTGGAGTGGAAGCTCTCTGGATGTCACATTATTAGAATGGCATACAATTTTAATATAAAAACATATTTGTTAACATATGCTGTACGTAAAAGCATTCATTATTGCGTGTGGATAGGTTTGTGGATTCATTTGCGTTTACTCTCAACGCATAGATAGAGTAGCCGCAGGCAGACTGATGGTGGATCGAGGTAGTAGCTGACACTGATGCCACCGTGGGGATGTGTTGGATTATAATACAGTTGGGTGATAAATTCAAGTTTAGTTATTGTGCTGATCTGGGTATAAGGATGTGCCAGGGACGTTGGACAAGCTGTCCCTTATATGAGATTCGATAATTTCCTTGAGGGCGCGTCGCTTGCGATCATCTCCCAGCAGCACCAGCTTGCGGGGTGATTCCTTGCTGCTGAAAAAGCCGAGCACCTTCTTGCCTTCCACTTTGACAGTGATTTGTACACCGCGAGAAGTTGCCTCAACGGAGCTAATGTCATTCCATAGGTACGACCAGAGCGACTAAAATGGAGACAAGTCTCATTAATTCATGCTTAACGGTTCATGGTTCTCAAGTACAACATACCGTCCAGACGCCGAACATCTCGTTACGTTGGATATACACCAGCCGGTAGTTGGTTACCAGAAGATACTCGGCCTTCTGAATGATCTCTTCGCAGTGAACGAAGCTATCCGTGCTGGAATATTTTCCCTTGTCGAGTTCCCTACAGAGGAAAACAGCAATTAGTCAAATCAGTTGATCTGTAGCTGCAGAAGCGCTCAACTTACTTCAGCATTTTGTTGCCCATGGCCTCGTTGTAGCAGTAGGGTCTCAGCACATGATCATGGTGCTGGAAGCGTGTGGGACGCAGCCGCTTGACGTCTTCATTAGCCTCTGTGGCGCGTTTCACCGCCTCAAAGCTGCCACTGGCGAAGTCAACCACACCAGCGGTGGGGCGAGCGACCAGACCAATAGCTCCCTTGCCCAGTCCTTTGAAGAAACCCTCAACGCCATGGTCGCGAGCTCCACTAACAGGTTTGGTTACAACACCAGTGACACCGTCGACAAAGCCCTAGGTGAGGGATAAATATTATTCAAAATGTTCAATGTCTTAGTGTCTCGACTCTAGAGCCTTACCATCACCAAGCCCTTGCTGCTTCGTGCTAATCCCTCATGGAAGTTCTTTGGCTTGTTGTTCATGCCCTGCCGCCGTTTCCTTTGGTAATCCTCGTCAAAGGTAAGCGCTGCCAGTCCCTTGCCCATAGCGCCAGTAATCCTAATGGATGATCATATTACATTAGATTGCGGAAATTCACGAGCTAAATGACAGTCTCAACTCACTTGGACATGGCACCAGCGGCTCCGCCTACAGTGTGACCGAAGAGGGACTTAACGCCCAGCACCAGACCCTCAGCGAATTCGCCAGGCCCTTGTATAGCCCCCTAAAAAAAGGAAAACAATTGTAATTGTTTGTGGAATGCTTGGTGTGTGGTGTTATGGTAGGTGTACCTGGAATGGCTCATAGAACAAGTCCTCTACTCCCTTTTTGAGTCCAATTACCAAGCCATAGGGATTGCCAAGGACATCCAGGCCTAGGACGAGGACATAGAGCTGCTTCAGTGCCTGGCCCGTGTAGTGGGAGGTGATCTCGTTGATCAGTTGCTGCTGGGTGAAAAACTGATATTCGCGCTCGAAGAAGGCCAGGCGGAACACGACATCGTTCACGTCGGTTAGGGTCACGCCCACGCCTTGCACCAGGGTTCCCAGAAATCCGGGCAGTGCAGTGGTGTCTGATCCAGCCATCGAGAAGCTGACGTGTATCTTGAGTGGCCCCAAGTGGAGACTGTCGTAGAAGTTTTTCTGCTGCTGCTGCGAGTGAAGTTCGAAGAAGGCAGACAGGGGCTGCTCAATGGAGTCTACGTCCTGGCGGAACTGCTTGGCTGCCACCTCGTCCGACACCTCCTTGGCAAACATCTCAGCAATGGCCGTGAGGAACAGTATGTCCACCTTGAAGTGGAACTCCTGAATCAGTATTTTGGCGTACTTAAACTGTTTGACCGTCGAGTTGGGCATGACGCGCTGCACCATGCTGCACTCAATGAACGGCTTGAGGGTCGTTGTGCTGGCCACGCTCTTGGGCGGCGGTATCGGTGCTAGCACCACTGGGAATATGGGATCGATGAACTGGTTGTCCACCTGGACGCGATTAATTTTGATATGAAGCTGATTCTGGAATGGCGACGACTTGTTCGACACCCAAATGGCCGGGTAGAAGCTGCGTCTCAGCTGTAGATCAGTGGCCTTCTTTAACACCATGTTATCGAAATCGATCTGAAAAAAGACAAAGTGAAGTTGTAGACAGTGAAGAGCGGAGCGTAGTCAGTGAGTGAGTGACGATTATTACCGGAAATTTATTGTCCAGCCTGTAGCTCTGGACATCGTTGATGCTTTTGTGCACCAGATACCGCTGGTACGCGGCCTCCAGAAGATCAGTCTCGTGTATGGTCATCTCCTTAAAGCGCTTCTTGCTTTCCTTCTTCGACTCCCAAATGATGCCAGAGCTGGTGACCCCCAGGTACAGTATGTCCAGACCGGTCTGATTGTTTATCACAGACAGGCCGATGCCATGGATGCGCAGATCAATGCTCTGCGTAATCGTCTGAAGGGCGGCGGTGGATTCCGTACGTTTGGCTATCGACTCGTCTTCGGTGAAGAGCAACACACGCTGCAGGCCGTCCAGAAAGGAGACCCAGAACACCTTGGTGCCGTCCTGCATGCTGTCGAGTTCAATTTACATTAACAGAGACCAAAGCAACATGGATACGGTGATACTTACACGACCTCACCAATGTCGTCACGGCGCAGATCGGTTTCCTGTTTGTTTTTTCCAAAAACAAGAACCTTGGGCCCCGTCGGATCACTCCACGCGAACATTATATTGCTTTTGGCATACAGAATATTCTGATCTTTGGTGTTCTTCTCGTGGTAGGCGATTTCCCTTTGAGTGTGATTGATGAGCAGCCCCGGTGCATCGGATTTTTTGTACTCTGTGAAGGTTATGTACACGCCGCCCTCCGTTGTCTGCACATCGACGTTAACGCCTCCATGTATGCTGTTCTCCAGCTTCAGCAGGGTACAGATCACCTCCGTGTAGTCGAAGGCAGGCGTCACCTTGTCGTCCACCTTAACCACGAGCTTGTGCTTGTGGTCGTTTTTCGGCCAAAGGGGCTCAAACTGATTCGGCTTAAGAGTCATCCACGGATCGCCCGGGCGGCTTTGCTCCTGAAGCTCGATTTTATAGGGGCATCTGTTGCACACGATATAGAAGGGTATGAACGTAATCTGCTTGGTCAACGAGTCCTGTGTCAAGTGGTTGTGGACGCCGATGTGATAGTTCTGATCGTTGGCATGGCAGGTGACCTCGCCAACCGAGCCGGCCACGTCGAGGGGAATCTTCTCGCTCCAGTCTCCATTGTCGCAGCGAACCGAAGCCTTCTTCTTATCGAAGAACATCTTATCGCGGAAGGTAAGGAGTATGGGTCCACTGTACTCCGGCGGATGATACAGCACCTCTACGGATGTGGAGTCCGTCTTATACGTGAGCATCTCTCCCGTTTTGTTAATCATCCAGAAGGGGCTGAACAGCGTGAGCATAGTGCTGCCGTGTCGATTCTCTGGTCTGCGGGGTAGTAAATCAGAATATCTGATCGAACAGAGAACTGAATTCAGTTTGCTTACCGCACATTGAGATCCATATCGACTTTCATCTCAGAATCGTATGAGGAAAATGTCCAGGTCGTGAGGTCTCCGTTGTATTGGGCGATTTCGGTGGCACAGGACCAGTCCTTCTCTAGGTATTGCAGCAGCTGGGAGGGATACAGGCTCATCAAATGGCTCTTGGGAATGGTTGAGTTCAGAGTCTTAACTCCGTAATACTCACTCGCACAACCAGAAAGCTTTTTCCGTCCCTTCCCTTCTCCGACAGGCGGACTGTAGGCAAATGGAGCACGTCGCCAGGGTTCACTTGTTTCTCGCCATAGTCCAGGAAGTCCTCCTTGTTATGCTTCCTAACCAAATCGGTGGAGCTGACCTCGAGCGAGTCCTTTCGCACAGAGCAACCAGCCACCGAAACCATTATGTTTATGGGCAGGGCATTACGTAGGTACAGAGGCGGTCGCAAGTGGATGGTGTAGAAGGCGCTCAGCAGCTTGAATTTGTTGGTATTCTCGTGGTAGACCTCATCCTTCTGCCTTGTGGCATTTATGTACAGCGGTTCGAATGTGGAGACGGGGTCGCACTGCAGCTGATGCGAGTAGTTTAGGTCCGAGGGACTGGCGTTCCAGGAAATACCCTGCACCGAGGTCTTGTAGCCCGGCAAGGAGAAGAATAACTCCTTGGAGTCCGCGTAGATAGCGTGCAGGGGCACATGGAACACTTGGCCAGGACCAGCATTGCCCACTAAAAGAACACTTCCATCCGTCGCCTTGCGCCGGTACACGCTAATGGTGGTGGTAAAGTGGTTAAATACCTGCAAAGATTATCCAATTAGCAGGCGTATTCAACAGACAAGAATGGTTTTCATTTGCATACGCTGACGACACCATGAATGTTTACTGTGGTGGTGCCATAGTCTTGCTTCACTTCGGAAATAATGCCCCAGGGATCATGGGATATGCCTCGCATCAGGGGGAAGTATCGCGTGTCGGACTTTGACACCGGCACCACGACTCCCTTCTCGATGGAACCAATCTAAAACAGATACCATGAAGAACAAACAAATCATTAGAGGCTATTTCCATCGGACTATGCGACTCTATGCCATTATACCTGCAAATAGAGATTGTAGTCCTCTCCCTGCTCATCGGTTAATGTGCTCAGATCTTTGGTCTGCAGATAGGCTCGCCCTCCTGGTGAAATTGTGCAAATTTGTATGTCATTGGGATCGACCTCCGACGAGAGCTCGCTTGAGGATATAACCAATGAACTGTTGACCGAATGAACACCCCCACGATGAACCTCGTGTAGGGTAAAGATGCCACTGCGCAGATCGATGGTGAGCTCGAAGCCCGTGTCGTTCTCCACGACATAGGGCGCCACAATGTCCGGCTTGGCCAGACCCTTCTGGTCGATGGCCTGCGAGAAAGCCTCGCTCAGTTCGCCGAGCAGCGCCAGGCTTGTCTTGCTGAATGTTATCTCTAGATTTTCATCCGAATGAATCACCATGTTGATAGTTTGCTGCTGCAACTCATCGTTTGTCTCGCTCTGCACCTTCTCAGTGGCCAGCTCGAACTTCAGCTCCCACGGAGTGTACTCGCTTACTCCGTTGCGGCCCACCACCTCGTTCAGCTCAATGATTGGCTCCCACTCGGCGAGGCACTGGTTGTAGTAGTTCTGGAAACAAATTAAATTATTCAATTAAAACCTCCACTCTCCGTGATGCTGCGATGCCCTGCTTACCATGTTGAGGGTCAGGGATCCCTGGGCGCTTAGATTACGGCTCCAATTGTTAAAGACGGCTGTGATGCGTGTGTCCAAGCATATGAGTGGCTTGGTGTAGTATCCCACGCCCGACTCAATCACGACCGTGATGCTGGGCAGCTCAATGACGCACTTCTCAGTTTTCTGCTTCGAGGCATCCGATGTTTCGTTGGTCATATATTGCAGGGCATCGAATCCCTGGTCCACCCTGGTGAACCAATAGGTTCGGTTGCGGAATTTCTGCGGGTACCAGAGCTGTGAGTAGTCCCTAGTTTCCTTTTCTACGACTGCCTTGCCTGCAGAACCGCTAGCTATGCTCATTATCGCTTTGTTCAGCAGCTCGATGGTGGCAGGGGACACGTTGATTATAATGTCGCTTAGCTTGAGGCTAATGTGCAGACCCTGTTCTTCGGGTGTGGAACCCTGCAGGCTGATCACACACGGGTGCAAAATGTAGTGGCGCGTTTGCTCCCGCCGCTCTGGCAGGAATGCGCTCATGTAAATCTTGAGTGCATCGATTTGTCCATTGATGATCTGTTTGTTATCTATGGCGCGATAGTTGAGATGAGCTTGAGCCTGAAAGGGTACCAAAATTAGCGGGGTTTTCGGGGACCTTTTCTTTGACTCACATTGAAGATGATGGCATTTGTGTTCAGATCGTCCAAGCTTTCCACCAATATTATGTCCGGTTCATCGATATGCAGTATGAGGTTTATCTTCTTGTTGGGACCAGCAGCTAAAAGAGAATCATCGATTATTGTCGGGTGACGGTTGTTGAACCCCATTCAAGTACATACCCACTGACTCCTTGTCAATAAACTCGCTGGCTGCCATTACGGCTGAATCCCGGATGGAATTCTGCGCATATTGAGCCGTCTCCGAAATGGGCTGCACATCCAGAGACTGTCGCGGTGTGGTGTCTGGCGGCAGGATCAGGAAATTGGTCAGCTTGAGCAGGAAGTCGATGCAGACGATCAAATCGAAGCCACGCACACGAACTTCGGCTGAAAATGCCAAAAGCAAACAATCAAATATGCTTCTTTGGCTTTGGCCTGAGGGCGTGGATGAATATTACCAAAGATATCGTTCTCCTTGACAATGGCTGTGACATCAACCATAAAGTTGCGCTCATTGTAGCAGGCGTCAATGATCTCGTCCGTCGGCAGCTTTGCCTGCACCCAGTCTTTGCGGCTCAAGTACTGCCTTATCTGGCTCTTGGTTTTCGTCCGCATGTCATCCAATTGAATGTTGCAGAGAACCAGGGAAGTGCTCAGGGTGTTGTTGACCAGCTTAGTGCCCTTGACAGATAGGAAATATATGCCAAAGCGCGCCAGTCCTTCGTTTTCGTCTAAGAACGGAATTTTGTTCGAGTAACTCGTAGGATCGTACCCTCTCTCTACCTCTCACGCTTACCCTCCATCAGATTTATTATCACGCCATCAAACTGGAAATTGAACTTGAGCACCTCATAGATCTTTTCGTTCTTAAGCAACGTCGGGGCTTGGAAGGAAGGCTTTCGGGTGCTACGACCATCGGTGAGTACGCTTGCCCGCGTCGGTGATGGTTGAGTGGACGGTGGGTCGTCACGTGGCGGGAACTCTTGCACGCCCTCGTTCAGATTGCGGTTCAAGATCGACATGACCAGAGCGTAATCGTCAGCGAAAAGTGTGAGCTGATTGATTGATTCGATGATATTAATTAGTGGATCTATACACAAATATTTGATCTCAAGGAATACTCCACCTCTATGGACTTCAGGCGACCGGACAGATTCAGCTCGGGCAGTTCCTTGTGCCAGGTGCTCGACAGATTGCGAGTGACCAGCAGAGTGAAGCTCATGGGGTTCATCATGTTAAACTTGGACTTAAAGCCAACGGCAGCATCCACGTCTAAGGCAGAAAACGCAATCAGTAAATGGAGCAGTCGATTGAATGGGCTTTAAAACTCACCATCTATCATGGACTCGTTGCCAGTTAATATGACAACCTTGGACAGTTTGACGTCTCTCAGCTGCAGCTTTATCTCGTCAATGACGGCCCGTTCGGTTCTATCGGCCACTGCGACCGTCACGGTATTGTTCGTTAGCTCTAGCATTCCCAGATCGAGGGACAACGCATCCCTGCTATTGGAGTCGATGGGTATAATGATGATGGGTGCCTTTATCCGCACATTCATCTTCATGCGCGTCGCCGTCTCGTAGGCATCCATCGCTTTCTGGCGGGCGGATTCAGCTGCAGCAGCACTGGCCTCGGACAGCGCCTTCTGGGCAGCTTGGAAATTGTTGAGAAAGTTCTGCAAATGTATCAAAGCCATCAGCAATCGAGGGTGAATCAGTTATAGAGAGAGACCTAGACATACCAGCACGCCAGCGACAAACCAATTTAAAAAGATAATCTTCATGCAGCCAATATCCACTGTGATCTTCATGTCATCAGAATTGTAGTCGACAGTTTCGGGCTTGTTGTAGAGAACCACCTGGCAGTTAAAGGCATTCTGGCCGACAATGCTCAATATCTGTGTGCGGGAAAAATCAACCAATTAGTTCCTTTGCACCGCACCGCAGAATGCACGAGAGCCAATGCAGATGCACTTACATTGTCGTGAATCGTGTTAGGGTTTAGGTCAATGATCTGGATATCCTTGAGACCGAGGTTCAGCTCCGTGTAGGAGCTCTTCATGGTCAAATTGGCTACGAATGTCTTTACGTTCATCTCCGCCAGCGGGCGACTTCTCGAGGTGAGCGTCAATCCCACTTTATTGAGGTTGGCGATCAAGCGAAGCTTCACGCTCTCTACACGCCGCTGGGATTCCTTCATCCGTCGATTTCTAGTCTGCTTGGTGGTCAGGATTTGCTCAGTGTCCTCCAGGATGACATTCAGCTTCTGTTTGAGCCCATCGCCAGCACCAGCGAGGGCATACCGGTCCTGCGGCTTGTCGTGCTGCAGCAAATCGTCCAGGCTCTTCTGTAAATCCCTTACCAGCTCCAGCACTCGAAGCAGACACTCCTGATGCAGCACAATCTGCAGCACCTCAAAGTTGGCGACAATTAGCTGCTCGGTGGAATTATATTTGGTGCTGAACTCTGGCGACGTCTTGTCAGCAATCGTACACGAGATGGTGAACAGGTAGTTAACGTCCTCGCCCAATTCCTGACCCTCTGTGTATCCAGGCGTATCAATTATGTCCAATACCTCCTGGTTGTTGTCCTGGCAGTCGAACTGTTTGATCTTCACGCCCCCCAGCCTGAAAGTAAGAGTGGATGTTGTGTGGGTCTGGCCAATATTCTCTGCCCGAACCTGACAGAATGTACTCACTTGACTGTGGCAACTGTCTCGTATGTTCGCTGAGCCAAAGTAGCCTCAAGCTGGTGCATCTGGACGGACAAAATCTGCGGCGAAGAACGCATGGAAAATGACGCCTCCGGGCTCGGCTCGGCCGCGTTTGCTGTCGTCTGTGGCCGATCCACAGGGGACGGTAGGTGTGTTCCGTCTGGTGTCAGAAACTCAATGGTGACATCCGAATCGTTTTCGCACAGTCTGTTAGACTGGTACAGGCCGAAGGAGATCTCTTTCAGTGAGAAGTTTACTTCCAGATTGGTATACTGTATGATCTCCTCCACTGCGGTTGCCTTGATGCTGCCCACGTTGCTGCCAAACTTGATCACCTCCTTGTTGATGAAATTGGAGAGCGAGCTACGGGAGCGCGTCATTACCAGCTGCGCTGCTGGCTCGGTGGCGGCTGGCAGGGGTATGCTCGTGGCCACTGAGATGGCGTCTATCACCCGATCCTCGGAGACGTTCACTTGGACAGTGGCAAAATCAATGTCAACCTTCATCTTGGGCATGCGGGGGTCATCGTCCACCACACAGAGGGCGGCAGTAACCATCAGGGAGGCGGGCTGCAGCACATGCATGTCTGTGGAGACGGCGGCCTTGAGCACCTGGTCCCATGGCTCGCCAGGCCGCGCCACCAGCAGCTGAATGTCGTCCACCTTGATCGTATATCTGTCATATGCGTTTTCCATGACATTCCTGAGAATATTGCTGGAACTGAACAGGCTGGTCGACGTACGGCGCCTGGTCTGCGTAGTCAAGTGGACTTGTCCCATGCTTACGACCACAAGGGAGGACTCGCCAGCCACATAGAGCCCTTTGTGTGGCACCACCAGAATGTTCGGCATCAGCAGGATGTCCGCATCTAGGATGGACTTCATGTCAATCATGTATTGCATACCCGTGGCAGAGCGCTCCTTGATACTAGTTAGCTGTACGCTGGCAGCGTTCTCGAACCTTGAGAGTGTCACATCCTTGGGCGGCTGAAAGACACTGATGAGTTTCAGAATAGTTTCGGCATCGTAAATGATTTCCAGAGGACGCGCCACGATCTTGACTCTCTGATCGCATAGCCCGTCCAGTGGATTCGTCTCGAAGAATATGTCTAGCAAATTGAATTCGTCGGTGATCTTTGATGCCACCAGCGTGGGGGTGTGGTCGTCGCGACCGAGGCCCGTCACCTTGAGCTCCTTCATGCCAGCCGTAATGCTGAGAGCTTCTGCAGCTGGCCGTTGGGTCACCAAGGCCGTGGCCATGGAGAACTTGAGAAGCACCAGCGAGGGCAGATCCTGGTAGTCGTACGACACTCTCGCGTCGGCGACCGAGCGCGTGTCCTGGTAGACGCCCACCTCCAAGGCAATCAGCTTAAAGTTCATTCTAATCGCTTCATAATATTCGGGAACATCCTGGGGCTTTGCGTTCTCCTGGTAACCAATCGCCTTGTACATCTTGGCCTTCTCCTCCGTCGTCATGGCGGCCTCGAATTTTCGTGCTACAAAAAAAAATGTAGATTGTAGACCTGTGCCCACGCACGTACTCATATAAGGTGGGTTTCTTGCCAAAATTCTGATCGGCGCCTTCGTTCTCCTTCTTGGCTCCGCCGCCCCACCAGCCACTTAACCAGCCCGCCTTCTCTACGGGCGCTGCGACGCGTAGCTTCTCTATCTCGATGTTGACACGCTGTCGGATCAGCAGAAGGTTGAAGGCGTCCAATTCCTGTTCCAGCAGACTGCAAGTCTCTATTAGTGTAGCTGCAGGCTTTTTGCTCAGCTCTCGCTCCTTGTATTTCTGAAGTGGAATAATAATAATAAGTTTAATCAATGTAAACTGGATAATAGAGTTTGCATGGAAGACCCACCTGGGCATAAGTATTGCAGCGATCGCGATGCTGCTTGATGTGCGCCCAGGTCCAGCAGCGTCGGGGTCTCCGCACGTGCTCCTCGAGTATGGATGTGGCTGCAAACTGCCACCACTCCTTGGCATGCCCCTTGATAGCTATATGGTGGAGCGGAGACAAACGCATAAGCATTTGGGGGTTTGATATATAGTAATGGGGTAATTCTTACGCAGGTCGTACGGTCGATATTTGCGGTAGGGAGCTCCCAACTGCATGCGGTTCATGGCATCGCCCAGCTTGAGGAAGTTGTCGAACTGGGTGTTGGTTAGACCCACATTCAGGGTTTCCATTTCCAAGCAGAGATCTATTTTGGGTATCTGGAAGGGTGGGCTATCGAACTCGGGATTCATGTTCAACTTCAGCTTGGCATTGCACGATATGGGCCCCAGCACGTAGTTGTAGCGCACTGGCTTGAAGTCTTTGCGGGCAATGCTCGTTTGGAAGAGTTCAGTGAGCGGGGTCGTCTCGTTGGCAAAGAGCCGAGCGGTACAGTTCATGTAGACGGACAGGCAGGAGAGATTCGCTATCTTGAACACCTGGGAGGCCTGTTGCGTCATATAGGTCTTGTCCCAGTTGCAGTCCGTGGTGAAGAGCTCCAGACTGTGCAGCGATATGCCAAAGGAGAAGGGGCTTCCCGTCGTTGTGCTGTCCTCGTATCGCAAATGCACATTATTTATCGTCACCTGCAGATTGTTTACAATCTGCGCCGTTAGTTTCTCGGCAAATCCAGCATCGGGCTTGGCCGAAACTGAGAAAGAGAGAAACATATGAAGCCTACCAATTTACCAATTTATATTCTGTCTCACTCTTCTCCAGCTCCTTTTTGCGGGCCGCCTCGAGGGCATCCAGCGCCGCCATCTTGGCATCCAGCTCGTACTTGGCCTCCTTCTCCGCATTATACTTGACATTGTTGTTGGGTGAGACCAGGACATACAGATCTTCAATGTTCACTACCACGGGCTGACTGTACAGATTCTTCCAGGGTATCTTCAGCACCAGTTTTCCTAAGAAAGACAAGACTTTCATTACAGCTCAAACCCACAGGAAATTAAGTGTCCTCACCCAGATAGCCGTAGATAAGCTGCACTGGCAGGTCCAAATCATCCAGCGCATTCTCGCGTATCTTTAGGTTTTGCAAGACCACATCGCCTGCCAAAACAGAAGAAAGGTCGGTTAATATTCGTGTAATTATGTACATATGTATGTACATATGTATACATGAATATTGTATAATGGTGAATAAAAGTTTCATGACATTGGTTTAGAAATGTCCAGTAATTAGTCAACTTTTTGATTTATTGCTCCAATCTTACAAAAAGCAAAGCGGCGATAAACAAATAGCTATACAGTGCGTGACGATACCATACACCTCTATAGAGAGGGGTAGGGATACAAATTCCACTATCGAAAAGAAAGTGCCATTGAGTAGAGAAAGAAATTGCTGTATCCATGTATAGGGAGGCAGCACAACAGCACACCCCTACCAGTACATCACTTCGATTAAAAGTGTCTGGCTTTTGGGCATGCCGCATTTTATTTGTCGAGTGTTTTCTTGAATGCTTGGAATTTAATATGAGTAGAGGAAGACAGTGAATTTTAATTGAATTCAGTATGTATACGCTTAGGGGTGAATCGTTCGATGACCGAGTTCCTTAACCACGCAAATCAAATAAAACTGACATCATAGAGCAGCCACTGATAAGACCCACAAACGAGCAGAGTTCAAAGACATGCTATCTGATCAATAGAGGCTGACAACTGATACCCGATTGGCAAGAGAATTACCCGAAGAAGAAGATTCGATTGCTCTTATATCAGCAAAAAAGAAAGCTCAATAGACCTCTTTAAAACAAATACGACTAATATGCAATACAAGGTATTTTCTTTATCAAAGAATCGATTCAACGCAAAACATTTAGTAAAGCAATCAGTTATTAATTCTATTTATTGTGAAAATATTATGACGAGGCTACTCAAGAAAAGATTTGCATTTTTCAAATACAAACTAAAGGAGTGCCATTTTTCTTGACCTCAAACGAATCACCCACAAAATGATGACAAAAGAGGGGGAATGCTCGTATTTTTCATTATTTCGTTTTTGTAATGATGCTTTTAAATCCCAATTAGAAGGGAATCCCTACAAAAACTGATCATCGAAGACTTTTTCATTGGCATCACATTACATCAATAGTATCAGGGTTACGCCTCCACTCGCAGTGGAATGAATGAATGCCTTTTGTTAGCTTGTCTTTCGATACACTCTGCTCAAAATATTTTTGGGTTCGAAATTAATTCGTGACGCCGCCCGGGTTGGCATTATGTCATCAAGTTCAAGATAAAACAAAACAAAAACAAACGAGAAGGGACGTGTGAGACGCTTCTTACGCGTCACAACTTTTATACCCGGCACTCAGGACTACATCTAGATGTAGAAGACATCGCCAACCACTAGATATCGTTCACATTACAGAACACGTAGTAAAAGCCTACTAAATAAAATGCATCAAACAAATTGAATCAGTTAATATTTTCCAATTTATGAGATATTTAAAACAGCAATAAAATTGGTACATTCTTGGACCGATGGTCTCACAGCAAATTGTTCGAAAGTGGCGCATCTATGAAAATTTCTTGTACGCAACTTTGATGGTCCAATGGTCTGCACATTCTGTGCAATAATGACCGTTTCACAGCAAATTTTTCGAAAGTGGAAACTTTGATGGTCACTCTTTTTCTAATACAGAGCGTTAAAAACCGAGTCTTGGTTAAAAGTCGGAAGAGTCAACGCCAGGGGGAGGGCAGAGGCAGGGGCCGAGTGAAGCAGAAGCAGAGTGTGAATGAGAGAATGTAAAAAGAGCAACAAAATCTGCGGGACAGGGTGGGTTTAGCCACTGGAAATTAATTTCTCCATTGTGGCTATAATAATGATCCGATCGGATCCCAATTTGGTGATCTGATAGATACGGCCATTTCCTACGGAATGGCGTTTTTTTCTTTTATCTTAAAAACTGTAGATTTGGGAGGTTTTCGCTCTTTTGCGGGGGCGGATGGGGGCGTGGCTCATTTTTGAAATACACTGGTTTCATTGTGAGCATATAGCAGTCTGGATGCAAAATTTGGTGGCTCTAGCTCTTATAGTCTCTGAGAACTAGCCGACAAACAAGACGGACAGACGGACAGACAGACATGGCTCTATCGACTCGGCTATTGATGCTGATCAAGAATATATATACTTTATGGGGTCGGAAACGCTTCCTTCTGTTACATAGAACCGTTATTCGCACAAATACAATATACTCTATTTACTCTTTGAGTACCGGGTATAAAAATAGTATAAAACAGGCTTGAAATAAACCCGTTTGTTTTTCGTTGTTTGCTGGAGTTTTATTAATAGTTCCTAGACCCGTGAACTTGATATTTTTTGGTGATGTGGACTCCACGGGCTTGCCCGGTTGTCATAGTATGTAATAATAGTAATGTAATAATTGATAAGCCTCACTGTTTACAGTTTCACAGCCATCCGATATGTACATGTACATACATACATACATATGTAAATAAAAACGAGATTGTAGAGGTAGGCTGAAGAAGCCGAGTGTAAATAGAAGCCGCAAAAACATTTTCCTGTTGCCGACGTTTTCAACACCGGTTGGCCTGCCTGGCCCTACGAACGATACACATGGCTCTCAATAGACGCAACAGTTGGCCGCTCCGCGCCTATCCACCCATCCATCCGAATCCAAGCCACGGGAGTGCTTTTGAGAGTGTGCAAAATATTCTCAGCTGTGCTGCTCTCAGACCCATGAGAATGTGTCTCTGTTTTGTTCGTTGGCGAAGGCTGAATTTGGGTCACTACGAGTAATCATGAATTGCGAAGGATAAGGATAACCGATGGTTTGGTTGTTGAGGCCCGCAAGCCAACAGTGCGTGCAGATGGAGCAATAAAATAGCGGCTGATATAATAAATGGATTAAACAAAAGCCAAGGGAGCCAGACTCGCGTTCGGGTGGAGCATAATTGTGTCATACTTTGGGAAGGGGGGAAGGGGAGAAACAAAACTAAGAACTCACCTCCCCAAATGCCTATTTTGAGTTGGTTACGATCCAAGTTCTCGATATAGTCTCCCAGCACCTTGTTGAGGACATCGGCAACCACTGCCTCGAAGACCATCTTGTCCTAGCAGCTGGCGGTGTTGTTTTTATTTATTGATTTTTATTCCTAATTGTTTAAACAATTTATGGGTGAGGCCGCCGCGCTCCTCTAGCGGGTATTTTGAGTTAAACACTTTTGCACTCGCTTTCGTTGTTGGGATACAGATTTTTCTAAAATATACGAAAACATAACAAAACAGATGGAACGAGGGAATCACATAAACACAATGGTGATGATGTCATCGGCAGTACCGACCGACCAACCCCGGCAGAGAACAGTCAAATGTTTTAGCACATTTTACTAGGCCGCATTGTTTCTAATATTCCACGTTAATTGACGCGAAGCCGTGGCACGCTAAACTCTAATGTTCCACACATTCCAAAGCCTTCTACCATTGTTTCCATTTATTGCACATATTTTTGCTTCACTTTAAACTTTAAATGCACATTCATGGATTAAATATCTCTATTTACAAACACCATTTACCAGCGTAGAGTGCGACATTTCAATACGCAATACCAAATGCTTGTCCGTTGCGTTTCCGATGCCATAGACACTCAACAGCTGTGGGGCTCAGAGCTGTAGTTTTAGCTTGTTTCGGCCAGAAAAAGGATGTTTGGTGGTGACGCTTTAATGGTAGGTGCCACAGCGACGACCATTAAAATCGAAAAGTTAAAACGTTTTCTATAGTAGAGCTGTTATAGTAAAATCACTACTCAGCACAATATCCTACTTTTGACGAGTTGTTAGATTTATTTTTAGCTAATTTATTTTTTGTGTGACAGCAGTGTGACTGCGGACTTATCGATAATATGTACCGCACGGCCCTCAAAAAATTCCAGATATACCTTCTCATTTTTCAAAATATAATATATTTTCCTCGATTTTGTAAGAGATATCAATGCAAAAATGTAGAATTTAATTTTTTTATCTAATTTATCAAACAATTTTCCATAAAATTGGCTTCCTTACATGACTATCTTTTATTGGGTTTATAAGGTCACCGAAAAAAACAATGGAAGCTTACACATTTCACAATTGGTTGCTTGTCAATCGGTGGGTAAAGTAAAGGGTACATATATTTGTGTCCCTTATTTCCATTAATTAACATTAAAATTTGTTTTTTTTTCACATAGCCATTTTAAGGTTTATTGGTTAAGAGTGAAATAAACATGTTGTTTAATGCTAAGTAAAGCGCTGCCCACCCTCACCAGGATGGTTCTTGGTTTGCGCTGCCACCGGGCCGGGCGTGCAGAGCGCTCTTGTCGCGGAACATGGTCATTCGCTCCGTCTCCTTCTTGTCCAGGAAGTGGCCAAGGGCGAAGCCGAAAAATGGCACGATTGCCCACAAGGCACGCTTGTCCAGACCGAGCACCATCTTAGTGTGATATCGACAAAGTAGCTTCCTCCTAGCTCTGACTCTTTAGCTGAGCGCTGTGTGCCAACTGGTGTTTCTGGCGTTTCCACTTGCGGGTGTGCGACCAATCTGCGTAGATGGAGCCGACTGCAACAGTGGGAAAGAATATCACTGCAGCGTACTTTAGAGCCAATTGAGAGACAACACTACTGCCCATAAGTTATGATTTAGTTTACGGCGTTTAAATGATGCGGTATAGCGAATTTTCTATGAATTCAGGCTCCAATTTGATTTAGTTTATTTAGTTTTGTTTTGCAAGTTACTTATAGCAGCGATAGCACTAGTGCTGCCGGACCACGATAATTGAATGCAAAATTAATGTTTTCAAAGCGGGTCTGAAACATTATTCATGACTTTGTCTTAGATTGAGATGCTTTAATACTTCTCATATTTTTTATATTTAGATACATATATACCACTCTATATATATGTACATTCATAAATACCTTCTAGATATCTAAAATCTGGGAAATTTTGTTAGGATATATCTCTGATTGGGCGCTGTCCACAGGGCAGCTAGTCATTGTGATGACAACTTGTTATCATCCTTGTGAACGCACTTGATGACCTTTTTTGGGGAAAAAACCATCGCATATGACCATATAAAGTAGATTAGTTATTTCTTGTTTTATCCAATTTTCCCCTGTAGTTTTCGAATATAGCTTATAATGGCCCTGCAATTCTGGCAGCACTGGTGCTGTTACGTTTCGATAGTTCATTCGAGTATAGTATCGCACCAAACAATCGATAATTGTGTGACGTGTTTTGGTTTTCTGAGTGCGAAATAAAGTACAATTAAAATGAAAACAAGGCTTATTTTGCTGTGCCTGGCCCTGGCGCCTGTTGTGTTGGCCAAGAAGTTCACCGACGAGGAAAAACCGGCGTGGGCCAAGAAGGATATACGGGACTACAGCGAAGCGGATCTAGAGCGTTTGCTGGACCAGTGGGATGCAAGTTTCATAAAAATTGCCAAAAAGTAACCCTCATAATGATACTGGTTGTTTTCAGGAAGACGAGGATCCACTAGAACCGGACGAGCTACCCGAGCACTTGCGTCCGCAGCCAAAACTGGATCTCTCAAATCTGGACAGCAAGAACCCCGAAGACTTGTTAAAAGTGTCGAAGAAGGGGCGCACGCTCATGACTTTCGTCTCCGTTACCGGCAACCCAACGCGTGAAGAAGGCGAAACTATTACCAAGCTGTGGCAGACCAGCCTATGGAATAACCACATTCAAGCAGAGCGGTATATGGTCGATGACAACCGTGCCATATTTCTCTTTAAAGACGGTGCCCAAGCCTGGGAGGCAAAGGACTTCTTGGTCGAACAGGACCGATGCAAGGGCGTTTCCATCGAGAACAAGGAATACCCTGGCATACACGCAAAGGACGAGCTCTAGACACGTTGTTAATCAGACTTTTACATTTCTCATTCCTATTTTTAAGCACAAAGATGAACAAAACAACGATCATTAGGATTATAAATTGTCTCATACAAATTGTATTCTGATTAGTAATATTAATATCAGAAACATGAATTTTTGGAACTCCTTGCTCTCATAACAACTAGTCTCTGTCGCACATGTGTGAATCGTTACATGTAGAAGAGTAATTATGGAAAAAATTCGTTATTTTGGTTTCAACGAGATTTGGAAAACATAACTGTACATTAATTAAACGAAATAAGGTGAGCAATACCTACATTCTCCTAATTGCCGGTTCACAAACAAAATTCATTCAAAATGACGTGACGTTACACACTTACGTTTCATTACGTCTTACGTTTTAGAGAGACTTCCATTTCTATGTAGTTGCCATGTTTCAAGTGTGTAGGTACCATGTAGAAAAATAAGTATGGATTTTTTGTTGAGACTATATTTTCTAAGCAAACCCAATAAATAAGAGTAATCAAGAGTAGCAAATCACTTACAAAATGTATGAAGTTTTTGAATAAAATTAAAAGTTCTGTGCTGGCTCTCCTAGGCTGCTAGTAATACCAAAACGAATATCAAAATTGAGGAATGTGACATTTAACTCAAAAAACAGCTGTAGCTGCTTGCTGCCTCAACAAATTCTCAAATATATCATATTTCCAAATGTAACTCCATCTCCGCTCTCCTCTGTTTGACCTTAACGAGACAAAACGGCGTTCTTAAGCCCCCAACTGTTTGTTCGATCACTCTGTCGCTGCGCCAAGAAAATGTCGGTCAAAGCTAAAATCGGTCCCAGTATTCTGAATGCTGATCTCGCCAATCTGGCTGCGGAGTCCCAGAAGTTACTGGACAATGGAGCGGACTACCTGCACCTGGACGTGATGGATGGAAACTTTGTTCCGAACCTCACCTTTGGCCATCCTATGGTCAAGAGCTTGCGCAACAAGATCAAGGTAATTTGGCCCTGTTTTGGCTGCTCTAGACGAGACATCAACTTACTACTAATGTGTTAACCCGCAGACTGCGTTTTTTGAGACGCACATGATGGTCCAGAATCCAGCGCAATGGATATCACCAATGGCCGATGCTGGCGTTAACCTCTACACGTTCCACATAGAGCCAGTGGACGATGTGTGCATGGTCAGTCGCCTGGTGCAGGAGGCCGGCATGAAGGTGGGATTGGCCATTAAGCCGGGTACCAAGGTCAGTTGAGGTTATGTTGTTGGTTTCAAATGAACGGTGTAACAAATGCTTCCCCTACTACGGATGTACCACAGGTGGAGGACTTGGAGAAGTACATCAGCATAGCCGATGTGGTGCTGGTAATGACGGTCGAGCCCGGCTTCGGGGGTCAATCTTTCATGGCCGACATGATGCCCAAGGTGAAATGGCTGCGACAAAACTATCCCAATCTAGATATCGAAGTGGACGGCGGTGTGGGCCCAAAGACAATTGCATGCTGTGCCAAGGCGGGAGCCAACATGATTGTCTCGGGCACAGCCGTGGTGGGCGCCACCGATCAGCGACAGGTCATCAGGGAGATGCGCGATGTGGTACAGAGCTACCTCAAATGAAGCTGTATTTATCTATAGTACATAGAACTAATTAGGCATAAAGTGTGAAGTAAAAGACATGGGCAACAATATGATATATGTTTTTATACATTTATTTTCTAACATTTATATATATATATATATGTATGTATGTATATAGTTTGTGTGTAGGGTAGGTAGGTATATATAATGTATATATGTATGACATTTGCTTTTAGCATTTAGTTGGTTATACGTGTTTGTGTGTATTATATGTAGGATTCTGCAATTTTCCAGTTATTGTATGGCCAGTCTCAAGCGACCGCCGCTATGTCAAAGTCAAAGTTATTCTCTGTTTTTTCCAAAATAAATGTTCAACAATTTCACGGGTTCCCATCAAAATTTTAATGTAAAACTCTTCATAAATTCTCAATGCTTCCAATGCGCTGCGCTCATCCAGCGCTCAATGGAAAAAATTCAGTTTGTATTTTATTGTCAATGTTTGATCTTGTAAATTCTTCACAAAGTTCCATCTGTGCATAAATAACAAGTGCTGCGTCTGCTTCTCATCCAGTTATCATCTTTAAACATATATTGTATATATACTCGTATATTCTGATACTTCTTTGTGTATGTAATGTCTGCTTTTATACTTAATCTCTGCTTTTGTGACATATGTAAATTCAACTAGTTTGTTAATCAGCTTCCTGGATTTTAATTTTAGTGTATTTTAATTTTGCTACATTTTCATTCAAAGTTTTGCTAGAGTTTCTTGATTTTCTTCTTTATTAGTATGTATGTACTTAGCTTGTTTCATGTTTCGGTTTCTGTTTCAGTGTCATGGAGCGAAACTTTTAAGCACGGCAATTCAAGTAGGACTCTGGGGCTGCTTGTGCGGGCCCCCTATGCGTGGGAGTGTTTGTCGTGATTGTATGCATATTGTACTTAGTATTTATCTATTCGGCTAATTCATAGTGGGCCCCTGTCAGTGGGGGTGACCCTCGCATGTAACTTATTTCACTCATTTTCACTTGACGACAATGCTAAGCATTTTTACATTTATACAATATTGATGTAATTCTTTGCTATACTAAGTGTACATAAAGCTAAGCGTTTTGATAGTAGCCTGGAGCATGCCTCTAGCACGGGTGTATAAAAATAGCTCCACTCGAAGTGGACGATCCATCCACATCCATCGGATGGAACGGATCAGAACTGCAAAATGAATATCAGTAAGATCGAGGAACTGAAGTGGAAAAGGTGAAACACAAAGTGCATTTACATTTTTCTCTATATATAATGCAGTTAATCGAAATAAGCATAGTACTCATATGCATGTACATATATGAATATATTAATATGTAGGTATGTTTGTATTGTCATTGATAAATCTCATCTGTTGTCATCGGTTCAATCTACGAAAGCCACAGATTCGTTTGTGCATAAACTAAGCTTTTCCACTTGTGGTAATATGCGTATATGTATGTATAAATTTAGACACCATCACATCTGCTTACAAGCTACAGCTACATTATGTATATATATATATATAGAATATATATATTCCGTTATATGTATATTTCTTGTATATATTTCAGTTACATGACTTTTTGTTGTTGTTTTGTTTATTTATTATGTATATCTCTGTGCATGTTCCTCTTAAACATGATGTTGTGCCTTGTGTAATATGCGCTCATAACCCCCCAATTAAAACTAGTTATACCGTTTTTCCACTTGTAAACTGATTGTACAAAACATGCATGTATATAATATATGTATATACATATATGAATGTATGTATAGCTACATTTATAGCTATATTTTTGTATACAGGCCAACTAGAGCTACTAGTAAACGCGGTTATACGTTAGCATTTCTTGTCTGAAGCATTACAACAAGTTTTAGCTAGAAATCATAGGTTGGTTTTAGTAATCGATCGAGCACATGAAATTCTCGCTCCGATTACTTACCATTGAAAACAGTATCAAAGCTGTACATTTATCGAAGCTCAACTTTGTGTGATGTTTTTTTGTGTGTGGTGTGTGGTGCTTGGTGTTTGGTGTTTGGTGTGTGGTGTGTGGTGTGTGGCGATGGTGTGTGCATTCTGTCAGCTGAAACAACCAATTTCGAGTCTTTAGTTACGCATATTTTACATTACATTTCCCTACTTTTCTTTACTCCCCTTTTTCGGTTAGCAAAATAGTTGTACCTTGCAGTAAGTACTGTCTACTAGGGGATACGCTACGCCAAAGGGAAGCGTGGCCTAGGTTTAGGTTCGAGGCATGGGATGAAATCATGGTGATAGTCTTTGTTGGGGCACGTGCGAAACGTGAGTTGAGTCGATATGTAAATAGCTCTAAATATTTAGGTGCATTTTTAGTATGTCTAATTTCTAGTCAGAAGCATGTAGACACTCTGTTATTCACATCACCGTGTGTGTGGTGTGAATGGTAAATATGTAATACAAGCACATCTTTTATCGCTCATCTTAGAATACTATTATAAGATTCGCATTCTAGCATCTAGATACATGTATGTATTTTATGTATGTTTGTGTTTATATTCTGTACTGTTCCATGTGACATTTCTCTTTGTTCTTTCGTGTCTTTAAAGCTGAAACCCACGCATTATACATATGTAGTTAGTATTTTCATTACTTACAGACTAATGCAATCATTTGCTTATTGTGCATTTGTTGTTATCTTTATTGTCAAGTGCACGTTTCTCTTTTTGGTTTACCTTGTAGATTCTTTGGTATATGAACAGCTCTTTGGAAAAGACTCTGCAACAGGAACACCTGTAGATCAGGCGCTGTAGATCAGCCACAAGTTTCCGCTTGTTTCGATTTAGTTGTATTTCAGATTCTCACTTAACTTTGTTCACTTATTTTCCATTCTAGTATTTAACACCTAATCGGCTTGTGTCTACCATATTTTGTTTTCTTTTCTCTCTATTCATATATACGTATATGTACTACACGCACGTAGATATATATTTTTGTGTATTTATTTTGCGGCAATCATACATTTTTGTTGGGGACTAATAGAATGATTCTGTTTGCCGTTTTCTTATTTATATAAAGGCTTCCGTTTACAGGACCTTCCAACACGAAATTCCGCTATGAAATTGATTTATTGTCCGGCACGACTGGGATATTTAGACACATTTACCTGTTAATCGGCTACATACATTTGTATTTTAGGGTACACTATATATGTATCTGTGTGTGTGTCCATATTATGTGTAAATATATAAATCGGGTATTCAATATTTATTGACATATAGTTTCGCCTTTTTGGTTTGGTTTGGTTTGGTTTGGTTTGGATTATCTTTGGTTTTGCTTTGCTTGCTCTTTTTTGGGTGCATAGAAATCTCTTTGTAAAAAAATTGACAAATAAATTCGGCAATTGACACATGATCAAATCGGTTTACGTTACCGTAAGTTCAGTAGCAAAATATATCCTCTCCGTCACTCGCCGCCACCCGTCAGAGTGTGCAGCTGATGACCGCTGATGCACAAATGCTTTGCTCAACCGTTTCCTGCCTCTGTCCTCTAATGTCCCTCGTGCATCTCATCGCTCTCCTTATTCCCATCATATACATGACATCTGCTATACGTGTATTTGCGTTTAGTCATGGGTCATGACCTTGCCGTGAGTGTAATAATAGGGCTTCCCGTTCCGCATGGGATCCGTGGCTATTTTGGAGAGCATGTCGGGGCCGCCCGGATGCAAATCATACTTGTTGACACGCTCCTCGGCGATGGGTCGCGCATGCTTTTGCATCTGCTCCTGGATCCACGGCACATACTGCACCACATTCGCGTAAACGCCGGGCAGCTTTGGGTGGGCGCACATTATGCCCCACGACACAATGCCGCCAACAAACCAGCGGTCCTTCTCCCCCGGATACGGACAGAGCAGAGGACCACCCGAATCGCCCTGCAAATAAGTTCGATGTATCCGGAGACACCGCAAAGACGTGACACTCACCTGACAGGCATCCTTGCCGCCATCGTCGAAGCCGGCGCATACCATGCCCTCCGAGACGGTGAGGTTGTCGAGCCACTCATCGCACTGGTTGCGCGTGATGATGGGCACCTGCACCTCATTGACTATGAACTCGTACGTTGACTTGGCTGTGGAGTAAACGGATAAGGATAAGTCAGTGAAACAGGGAGAGTGAGGGCCTGTACTAACGGTCCTTTTCCTCGCGCTTGCCCCATCCGATGACGGTGCACAGGGTTCCAGAGTGGAGATTCCTCACGCTCGGCGGCGGCAGGCAGACGGGCAGCAGATGCTCGTGGAAGGATACACGCGTGGCCAGCTGGAGGAAAGGAAATGAAACCGAACGGATTGATTGATGGATGGATCGATCGGGAGACCTGCAACCCAAGTACCTGGAAAAGCGCAATGTCGTTGTCGTGGGCAATGGCCATGTTGTACTGCGGATGTGGAATGACCGCCTTCACCTTAACCTTCTGGCCAGTGTATGTGAAGGAGTTGCGTCGCGTCACCCCCAGCTGTATGGTCCAGTCCTCCAGGTCGATGACGGTGTAGCTGCAACCACAGGAAGGGTAAGATAAGGATAAGGGACATGGATAAGGGCGATGCGGTACTTACTTGCCAACGCAGTGGGAGGCAGTGAGCACCCATTGATCGGATATGAGGACGCCGGCGCAGTAGAAGATCTTCTCGGGCCCACCCAGAATGGCGGCGAGGAAGGGCCAATTGCCGGGATTGGCCTGACTGCCCCCAATGATCCGCCTAGAGGGCTTGTGGCGTCCACGCTTCACCCTGCCGCACTCTGTTGGGGTGGAAAGTACCCTGTCAGATGTGATTCCTACGCTGGAGCACTGTTCCTCGACTCACCATAGTTGGAGCAAGTTAGCTCGGCCATGGGATAGTCCTCGGTCTTCTTGCAGTTGGCAAACTCCTGCATCAGGGTGGAGCGTCGCTTGGCGTACATCTTCCAGATGTCTGTGGAGACGTTCACCGAGGCCAGCAGCGGACGATGTGTGCGCTGAGTTAGGACACTGGTGGCGTTCACGGCCGAGTAGCCAAGGATGGAGCACACGGCGCTAGGGGAGACGGCCCGATCCCAGTTCTTCACACAAGCCGGCATCCACTGGCGCTGACCGATGCGGTAGACCTCCAGCACCCCGGCCCCCACATCCCCATTCCGCTCACTCAGCCTCACTGCAAAAAAACTCAAATCATTCAGAGCTTCCGTGAGACTCAACTAGGATCCCTATACTCACGGCAATTGCGCTCATCCTGGCCGTACGGACAGTCGATGATGCCATCGCAGATGTGCTTGGTTCCAATGCACTGGTTGTCTCCACAGTAGATCTCGTCCTGGCCGCACCGGTCGCAGCTTCCCTCGTCCGTCTGGTCCATGCAATCGAGGTGGCCATCGCAGACGTACTCCGTCGGCAGGCAGCGGTTCTGGTCGCACTGGAAGCCATCGCATCTGGGATTCGAGGCCGCTATCATAACGTCACGCACCTCCTCCAGACCCACGCAGTCCTCAGCGCTGGGGAAGTCCTTAAAGAGCTTGCAGTTCAGATACTCCGGCAGGCTCAGCCCAAACACATCGAAGAAGAAGCCGCATCGGCGCATTGTCTCCGTGCAGAGTGTCTTGCAGGGTGGCACTGTGGCACTATGGAATCGAATAATCAGTTATAGTTCTTGGCCATGGCCGTGTCCTCATGGCCATCTCTGTTCCCTGGCAAACTTACCCACTCTGACCGCATTTGGGCACGAAGAGCGTACACAGGAATAGGGAGACGAGCTCGTAGCAGCGGACGTCTACCAGGGCCTCATACGAGTCCAGGTCCTGCCAGTGTGCGGGAGAAATGGGTTAATGGAATGGCAAGGAGCTCGCCCCATAATTACCACTTGCGTCTCCAGCTGACCGAAGTGCCCGATGTAGTTGGGGAAGACCGTGTAGTTGTAGGGTATCTGTGAGCCCTGGCAGAAGCGCACGATGATGGGCAGACAGGTGCCGGGGGCGGGGTTCTTGCCAAAGCTCGAGTTCTCCTCCACGTGGATGGTGTTGATGATGGTCTTGTTCACGAACTTGATGGTCGGATAGGCATTGAAGTACGCGGCCAGTCCCCCGGCAATGGCCAGCAGGGCGAAGGCGTTGATCAGTATCTGGAACAGGCGGAACTTCAAGCGTCCGTTGGTGATGTACGGATTGGAGCTCTTGCGTCGGTTGATTATCTGCAAGAGGCGTTGAGTTGAGCGGCAGTTTGATTTTGGCAGGCAAAGGATGCGGCTACCTGGTGCTGCAAGGACATGGTGTGGGGTGCTCCGTTCTGGAAGCGCACAATCGTCTGCAGGCTGCTGGGCGGTGCACTCGCCTTGTTCAGTGGCGAATGCGTCTGCGGTGGCTCCAGCTCCTCGATGGGCTCGTGCTGCACTCCCTGGCGGCAGACAATCGGAGCCGGGGCTGACAGTCGCAGTCAGAGGTCAGTTGGAGATCGTTATGCTGTTGTTCTGGGTACTTACCGCTGCACAGCCGCTTTGCCGACAAGGAGGGCAGAAGTGGGGCTTCCATGAGTTTCGAGTTGTAGCCGGGGCTGGACGTCTGGCTGAAGCTATCGCTGGAAATGGTCGAGTCCTGGCGGAAATTAATCTTTCCCCGCGGCGGCGGCACTGCCGGCAGCGTGTGCTTGCCGAACCGTGTGGGCGCCATGTCCATGAGCGAAGTCTGCTGGCGCTGGGCCGTGCCCGGATTGTTGCTCTTGCGCCCACTCTGGCTAGACGCTGCCAAGGGCAGGAGCGGCACCTCCATCAGCTTCGAGTTGTAGCCGGGACTAGAGCTGATGGAGTAGCTGTCGCTGGACAGGGTCGAGTCCTGGCGCTGCTGCATCTTCGGGTAGACAATCGGCGGCGGCTTGTTGCCTCTCAGTTTGTTGCGCACAGTCAAAGGCGGTGCCGCGTGCACCCTGGGAGTACTGTCCACGGAATCAAAAGAGCTGTTCATTCGCTGTGGTGGCTCCGGTGGTCCTGGACGTTTTTGGCTGAGGTTTGGATTGCCAGCAGCGGCCACAGCAACTTGACTGGACGCGGTCGCGGGCGAGGGCGAGGGCGAGGGCGCGGGCCCCATGCCCAAGCCCAGCGACATGGATGACATGGTGCCACTGGATATGGTACTGGAGCCAGCCGATGCGGCGGACGATGTGGAGGCCGATGCGGAAACGCTGCTTGTTTCCTTGTTGGACTCGCCCCCCGAGTTGTTGCTGTTGCCGCTGCACGGAGTAGAAATCTTCACTGGTGGCTGCTTTCGGGCCGGCACCGTCGGTAGCTTGGTGGTGGTGCTGCTGCTGCTGCTGCTGCTGTTGTTGACGACGATATTGTTGTTGCTGGCCAGCTCGACACCGAGGCCGAGGCTGAGATTGTTGTTGTTGAGCTTGTGCATGACATCGTTGCCGACGACGGCTCGTTCTCGGTCGCGCTCCAGCCGGAACGTGTCCTTGGCCAGGGGCGAGTCAATGGAGATGGACGAGGGCTTCTCGTCGAGCGAGGACTGTGTGTCCACCGAGGAGAAGCGGCTGCGAAAATCGACACTGGTCGAGCTGGAGGCAAAGCGCTCGCTGTGCCCACCCGAGGAGCCGTAGGCGGAGTCCACGGTGCTGCTGGAGGAGCGCTGAGCTCGCTTAGTCATGTGGCCCAGCCCGGCGTACCGACTGGCATGGTAGCCGGCGACCTTGACAGGTGTGGAGGTCAGCGACTCATCGAACACCGAGTTCTCCAGGCTCATGCGGTCGTCATCGGAAATACCATCGGCATCCGTGTATCCGTACGCCGGACGTGTGGCTATGTCAACAAGGAGTGCTGATTGCACCCCGGCCGCCTCTGTGGTCACGTTTGCTGGCTGCGGATAAACAAACACGGTGCCAATGCCGTGGGCGCCTTCGTGTCCGGCCGGACTCGGCTGCGGCGGCCAGCCAGACTTGCCTCGCAGCATGCGTCGCGGTATGGGCGGCGGTGGCGTGACTGGCGTATCCACACGTACCAGCTGCTGCTTGGCCTTGGCTGTCCCGATGGCTCCTCCCATTGGCGCGCACTTGCCGTATTTCAGGTCCTGCCAAACAAAAGGGAGAGAGACAGTAGATTCTGGGTCAGACAGAGGTGTATGCACACTAACAGCTACACATAGCTGGCCAAACAGCAATATTCCGTGAGCTTTGGCTCAGTCTAAGCTCGTGGAGCCAGATCCCTGGGCTTGGATGCCGTGCCATCCAGGCGGACGGACAAGGCCGCTAAGCCGACTGCACAAACCCTGACGCAGCTCCGTCGCGGATTTTGCACGAATGGAAAATAGCGAAAACGCGGAAAAGCGGCAAAAGAGATTTTAGTGGCGTTCCGGATTTGCATAAAAAGAGGACATTTTCCCCCTCTACGTTGCAGGCGATGATGTCGATGATGACAAAGTGTTATGGCAGGTGACTGTCGGCAGGTGGCATGTGGCATGTGGCATGTGGCAGGGCAAATGGCATGTGGGGGAAATGAAATGGCTGCATGAAATCGCAAGAGCTGACACATCAGCAGTCTTCAAGCTAATCTAAGCCGAAAAACAAACCCCATCCAATATACATATACCTATGTACATACATAGATGTGTCAGTTCATACGAGCAAACTGTCAGGCAGCTGGCAGCTGGTGCCATTTCACATACATATGTACACTCATATTGACTGAGTACCGGGTATAAAAGTTGTGACGTCTGACGAAGCGTCTCACAACGTTCCACAACTATTTAATGTGAAAGTGTGAAAGACCATGTAATGTTTATAGACAATATACAACACATTTATCAGAAAGTTGCAGCGAGACCAACGAATATTTTCCCAAAACTTTAGGGACTTTAGCACCAGTAATAGAGGTCGTCCAGAGGTGTGTCAGAATGTGTGACCGTTCACCGCTTACAACCGTTCCAAACTCATGGTTGTCACCATGGTTGTATGCCAAATGCTCTCATCACAAAATTCATCTCTGATAGATTCTTCGGCACTGCTGTGTCACTTTATGTTGCGCAGCACTAAAGCGCGGAAAGTTTAGCTAACAATTTAACACTTTAAAATCCTAAAGAAAATAAATCCAGCTGAGGAGTTTACTAAATATTGACAGACCGTCTGCCTAATAGCTTTGCTGATGGCTGGACTTACCAGCATTTCATTGGCCTCGTGAGCCAGCTGCGACGACTTCTGCTTATCCTCGAGCATGGGGTAATAGTGGGAGGAGTGGCGTCGCACGATGCTGCTACTGCTGCTGCTGCTGCTGCTGTGGCTGTTGCTGTTGCTGGGCAGTGGCAGCAGGGTGACGGACTTGCACTGCTCCTGCTGCTTGTCGTAAAAGTCCAGCAGGGAGTTGAGAGGCAGCGCAAGGCTGGAGGCACGCTCCGAGCTGCAAAGACAGGAAACGAAGGGAAACTTGTTCTGGTGAGTCCGGAGGCGGGATTGAATGATTGGACGGCACCTGCTTACCGTGAGCGACTGTGCTGGTCGTCGTCCGAGTGCGGATGCTGCTCCTGGGAGACGCTCAGAAATTGTTTATTCATGTCGAGTGCGTTCATGGCTTATTCGTTTAAGCTGCAATGGGCATTGAACGGAATCGATTATCACAACGCGTATGTGATCCACATGCAAATCGAAAAAAATAATTACAACTGCAGCATTTTACCAAATGATGTCCCCGAGCCCAAGCCCAAGCCCGTCTGCCTGTCTGCCTGTCTGCCGTCTGCCTGCCATGCATATCCAAATCGAACTATTCGCATTCCATTCCATTCCGACACACAAACAGATTCGGTTTGGCCCGGCCCCTGGCGGAATGTGCAAGTCATGAAAATCATACATAGGAGTCAGTTATTCGATCGAACCCATGCCACAGCTCACACCGAATATGGAATACAAATAAACTGGGGTTTGGGAGAGATACTCGCACGGACACGTGACAATAGATCCCACAATACGCGTACACACAAACGCACAGACACATAGGGAGATGTGTGAATGTATGGAAGGGAATGTATTGATGCCATCGTGCATCGAGCCACGCAATTTGGCCTTTTGTGTCTAATGGATGCCATTAGTTGGCTCATAACACAAAGAGTTGCCACTTCCTCCGGCCCCAGAAATTGTCCCACACAGTGGCACTGGCAACCCTTCCATGTAACGCCCTGTCCTGTCCTGTATTGTCCTACCCTGCTCTCCCTTGGCTCTCCCTGTTGGCCAAAGAGAATGTCAGTCAGATTATGCACTGCCACACCAAATGGCTTATTCGATTCTCGAAAGGCAAGTTTCGGAAAAAAGAGTTCTCGGAATGACGGTTCCGCGTGGTTCATTACCGCAATATTTGCACATTTGTAGCTGTCTGCTTTATTGCAAAGTCACTCTGGCATTTCGGATTTTCGGATGCCCCAAGCATACGCGTTTTCCGTGCGGCTTTGCGGACTTGTAGGAGCAATGCGGACTTTACCTACCCAGAACCTGCACGAGTGGAGTCTGCAAACCTAGAAGAGATTTCGTCAGTATCAAGGTGTGACCTACTTAAATCGGAGCCATTCCACCACACAGTCCCATGCCAGAGCGTGACAGTCAACAGGTGAAGAACAAAGAACAATGGAAAATCGACCCCTTCGCACTGCATACTTCCTCGTGATAGCTGCAGGCCACCCAGCTGGTCGAGCAGACCAGAGCCGAGCTGTCGGAGTTCATGATGTGTCAAGGACGTGTATTGACACTAACAGGATGCAATCAACCCTGGCAGGTGAGAAGGCGCCATCGCCATCGCCATTGCCATTGCCATCTCCTCCACCACCTCTGTGTCCGTGTCCATGTCCGAATCGATCCCAGGCATTTCTGTACATGTATGTATGTATATAGGTACATACTTAATGGATATTCTCTATTGCTAAGATTTATTTTCTTCAAAAATAACGATTCTGGAACGTTCATTAATCAGGCGTTTCCTCATTTTTTAAGCAAATATGTAGACACGACACACATGGATGTGCATACAATTTGGCTATTACCACACACACACACACAGACACACACTCGCAGGATACATATTTACATTTCATATAGTACACACACACATGCAAATGGAGACAGGATAAACATACAAATTCTATTTGCTCGGCATTTGTATGCTGAACAGCAATTCCAAACTCATATGAACCATAAATTGTTTGCTTTTGTGTCGCCCAATCCCCTACTCTGCTCTCCTATCCTCTCCTCTCCACTCCACTCCTTTCAGCACCACTCTCGTTCCTGCCACAAAAAGTTTTACAACGAATCTGCAACGCAAAAGCAATCAGGCTTGCCCAGGAAGGAGGGAATGGGAACGGGAACGGGAGCAGATGCTTTTAAATTATATTACGGACGAGAACCAGGACCTAGCCTCCAGTTCCATTCCCCATAATTTCTCACCAATCTATGGCTGACCTTTGGGTTATTATCCAAATTGTTGGCGCTTTTGCCAAGTGTCAGCCTCTCGAATTCCACTCAAAGATCTGAAATCACAGTGATGTCAGATGGGACCAGCACCAGCATCAGCCCCACTTATATAAGTTGGAAAAGGTTGAAATTCCACAGCCCCAGACCAGACAGAACGCCAGCAATTGTTCCTTATGCGCCTGATAGCCTTGGTACACAATGTTAAGTATACGTCTAGTTGTGCGGATGCCTTTGGCCCTGCTCCTCTTGCGCCTGTTGAGAGTCGAAAGTATTTGCTCCAAGTGGAATTCTGAGTTAATCAGCAGACGAGAAAATGTGGCAAAAATGCCCAGACCGAGAGTCCAGGGCGTAGCACTCTCCCAGCGACTCCCAGCAGTTGCGTAACTCCCAGCAGTTGAGTTCAAGAATTTCCACCTTTCACAACGGGCTTGCATTTTCCCCGGAATCATAGAAATATCAACACTTCTGTCCATTGTCCATGACCAAGAGAAAAGAAGCCAATTATCAAGGGTCGGACAGAAGGTCTTGCAGCCATTTCTGAGAAGAGACCAACATGCTACATCGTGGCATCAGGATCACATGACATGGGTGAGACAGATTAGGCATATGTAACATTTTCAAACTCGGGTTTCTTTATCGCCCTTGGCATATTTGCCTAGAGCTTATCACAGCCCATCCAGAGACCACCGCTCTCCCTTCACCTTTAACTCTCGGAATTTCATTACAAGAACGTCCTGGTCAGCTATGTCAGAGACAGAGAGAGAGTGAGAGAGAGAGAGAGAGGGAGAGAAAGAGCAGGATGAGGATGAGCAGATGCAGAGGTAACCTCTTCAGCTGTGCCCAAAATGTCCTGGCCATTTTTCCAAGCACTTCTCTCTCTCTATCCTATCTGTTATGCATTCACTCTGAGTTGGTGTCTCTGGCTCCAGCCATAATTTAAATTTATGACCGCCTCGTTGCCTATGCTCCCGCTTCCCATTTGTCGGGGCCGCCACACATAAATTGTGGCTGAGCATTTAATTAGTTTGTGCAGCAGCCGGCAACAGCCTTTCAGGTAGCTTTGCTGCCTCGACCGTCCCAGCGTCCCGTCCAACACCGAAGACCAACAGAGTCGCAAGAACCCACGGGTCCTTATGTCCTTATGTCACATGTATCACATATTGTCTAATGTTCATCGGATTGGGAGACAGAAAGGCCTTCGCTGTCGTCACAGCCGTCACACCGATACGGGTAAACGAATATAAGCTTCTGCGTAAGAAATATCCACGGCTTAAGAGCTTGGAGAAAGTTTACCATTTTTTCAGTGAGCTTCTGCTTTACTTTCTCTACTCAAATACTGCAATCTTTTTTTCAATCCACTAAAAAGTAGACTGAATATTTATTCATTAATGTGTACATTAATGTGTATGTACATACACACCTGAATCTATGTCCCTATCTGCGCAACTTTGCGCAACAGCGATTTCTAGAGTAACTGTAGGTAGGGTCCTGTGGCGCAACCTCACACAAAGGTATAAGCAGAATACAGAATACAAATGATAAGACCGTCTTTTTTAATAGACAGATATTATCTGAGATATCTTTATTCGTAGTAATAGCAGCGGTAGGATAAGGACAGGGATAGGGATAGGGATAGGGATAGAAATGGCTGCTGCTGCTGGGTACACAATTAACAAATGAAATTTCAGTGACAGAGAATGAGAAGAGAGAGAGAGAGCAAGAGTATTCCATTGTTCGTAATTGTGCCATCAACAATGCGATGGTGTGCCATATAATGTGATTGTGAACGAACGAGTACGGACAGCTGTAGGTGTGGGTGTTGGGGTCCTTCTATTCGAGCGCGTGCCACAAAGGGTAGGGATGGGGATGACTTCAAAGTCAAATATTACAAGGAACAGAGCGAATTGTTCAACAATTTAAATTTGTACTAAGAACGAGCATCTACAATCTCATGCGAGTATCTACATGAGTACATCTGCTCTGCTCGCTTCCATGCGGCGTGCGTTTCCGCTTTTGCCAGCATTCATTATTTTGATTCGATTTCCATTTTACATTCAAAGGGCGTTCGTTTCGTTCGCTTCGTTCGACTGATTGACAATCTTTGTCAGGCAGGAGGAACTCAACCATGCGACCATTTCATCCCAGTCGATTGGTCTCCATTCCAATGCGTCTCATTTCCGCTGCCATCTGATCGGCTACATGAGTGCGATGCACACACACGAGTACGAGTACGAGTATGAGTACTCGTCCGGTCGGCCCACGGAGCACTGCCTGCAATTGGTTGCTGTTTGCCTGCCACTCAGCTGTCATGATTGATTTGTAGCGCGGGTGTACCATCGAGTAGAGTTTCCGGCGCGACACCTCAACTAACTTACACAACTTACTCATACTCATACTCATACTCATACTCATACTTATACTCGTATTGGCATGGACACAAGCGTTCAAAGTTTCGCCAAGACGCTGCCAATGATGGTCAATGTGCAAAGGGGGGATGTAGTCCACACGTGCTAGGAACGCAATCTGCGAGATATTGCACTCTGACTATCACAGAACAGGCTGGGATGGGACAGGCCCTTTGTCTGATAAGGGCACCCTTCTGGTAAAATTGTAATGCAATTGTGGCAAAAGCCACAAAATTACGGCGAAAGAAAAGAACTGAGTCTGCCTCATTAATAATGAATCCAATTAGGCTTTACAAGAAACATACAAATGTAAAATATATACATGAACATATCTAAATGTATACAAAAGAATATTCTGGCGGGGCCTCAGCCAGGACTGCAACAAAAAAGCTAATGACAAAGAGAGCGTTGAGCAATTTGTATTTTTACACTCGGGAAAAAGGGTGAGGGCGTTTGAAGTGTCAGGAGGCCACAAAAAATCGAATCGAATTCTTGCAAAAGGGCATTGCGCTCTTATAGAATAGGTAAAAAACGGAAATACATATACATATATATGTATGGGAACCATGTAATACCTTTTTGCAAGTGTAAAAGCCGTAGATGAGTTCTCTGGGATGGGATGGGGTGCTATGGGGATGGAGTGTACATTGTACACATTGTACGTACAATATTTACTGTCATCGTCAACGCCATTGTCCTCTTTGTCAGTTTACATTTTGATCGAGAGGGAGCTGAGATGGGGAATGGGGATGGGGCCTAAGTCCTGGGTCCTGAGTCGTAAGTCCTGAGTTGACATGCTTTACTTTCATTAGTCAATGCGGCCAGGCAGCGCTGACTGACACTGGCGCTTTGTTTCTGACGTCTCGCTGGGCGCACGTGGCAGACTGCGGCTTATGCTGCCTGCCATTGCAATGATGGGTGTCTACTCGTGTGTCTCTCTAGATGTGTGTGTGTGCGTATTAAATGGCAAGAGAGGTCTCTCTCGAGAGCGAGAGCCAGCGAGATACAGCTTGCAGAGTGTACATACATATATCGTGCGCATCGAGCCGTTAACTGTAGACGGTGGCCGAGCGAGCAGTAGGGCAAGGGGCCAGTAGCGCTCGTATGTCCAGTGGCCAGTCATATGCAGCATACCGTGGATAGATGGGAACGCTTGTGAGACGCTTCGTACGAGTCACAACTTTTATACCCAGTACTCGGTCAGTACCTTAGTACTGGAAAGTGCTTTCAAGACGGACGGACAAACGGACAGACGAACGGAAAGACTCGGCTATTGATGCAGATCAATCAAACATGTATGTAAATACGTTATAGGGTCGGAAACGTTTCCATTTGCGCGTTACATATGTACATACAGTTTTCAAGACATATACAATACGAGTATACCCTATTTTCTATTTAAGTACAGGGTATAAAAAGAAAGACAGCATTTGCTATCCGCCCCTGCCACTGCCCTTGCCATTGCGCCCTACCCCCTTCCATCATTTCGATTTCAGTTTCCGTTTTGTTCCGTTTGCATTATCGTCGGGCTATACGGAAATTGATTTTCGTTCTTGAACACTTCTTCTGCCCCCTCCCGTTGCAACGCGTTGTCCGTTATAACTTCCCCAAGGAGGAGCAGGGAGAAAACTCTACCATGTCCCACAGCGGACAGTACTCTTTTTGACCTCACATTTGAATCAGAGAGTCCATGACCATAGTTTTGACTCAATATTAGTGCAGCAGGGCAGCATTCGCTGAGGTGAGCTCCCATTGCCACAATCCGCTAACTCCCTGCAGGAGGGTGGTTGCATTCCTAATGTCAAGGACACAGAAAATTCTGAGAGTGGCTGCAGCTTCAGGCGGCTTCAGGAGCTGCGGTGCGGCTGCAATCGGCAGCGGCCTGGGCTGTCTGTGTGCGTGTGTCTGTGGCCACTGCGCAATTCCCAGACTTTCATTAAATTATCCTTTCTCGATACCACACCCTGTCCCACATTCCACACTCAACTCCCCTACTCCTCCCTCCCACTTCAGATTTAATTCGCTTGGAGTGTTTCCCGGGCAGCGGGAGTTTCATTAAAATCAAATCAGAGCAGTCGAATGAAGCAATTTATCTATCCCATTGGACTGACAGCCCATCGCCCTCTCTTCCCACCACATCTTCTGCTGCTTGGGACATCATTTCTAGGGCCAGTCCTGGGAGCAGTCCCAATACATTTCTTTCTGATTAACTTTTAAATGGGTTAAATATGTTCCAATCTCTTTTGTGTCTCAGTGCGCTTCCCAGAAATTTCATCCAAGCTAAATATCACAAAAATAACATTTTCAGAACTCAATTGCGGATAAATTCAATTTAAATATATCTCCATATATATCTACTGTGCTGTCAAAATTGATTTACCGAGAATTTATTCTCTTTTGTCTATCAGAACGCATCGCAAAATTATCATCACACGTCATGGCCCTGCTCGGAAGGGTGCATTCCCATAGCTTACTTCTGGAACATTTCTTTGAATATTTTCTGTTAAGCTACAGCTATATTTTTGAAATGTACCCTTAACTGCTAAGCCAGTGGTAAGTCGAAGTGTGGTATGTAAGATCTCAAAATTCTATTCATTAAAATTATTCGTTTCGGGACGCCACTAAATTTCACGAACTCAAAGCGCAGCTGGAAATATTTACTAATAAAATCCTGATTCACTGTGTTGAGTTCCTTTTAACAATCTCACTTCATTTAACGAATCGGTCGTGCCTTTGGGTTCCCTGAACCCGTGCAGGGTCTGCTCTGGTTGTAAAATGTGTCTGATGTGTCGCTGCTAGGGGGGCAGACTTTGCTAATTCATGAGAATTGCCGAAAGTATTGGCAATGTGTTGCATACCTTAGAGAGTCCGCCATCGCGATGGGAGCAGACCCAGAGTACAATACCGTAGCCCTTCGATTGTGAGTATTTGCTGGACAGAGACCCAAGATAAATTTTTTATTGTATTCCTCTTATCGGTTGCCCGGCCTTTTCTTTGGCTTTTATTTTTTGTTTGCCTCTCATCGATTTTTGAAACTTTTGGCATACCAATTCCTGCCCAGAGAGTATATTATGTCCCTCAGTGTGTGTCTGTCCCTGTTCTTGTGTTTGCTTGTGTGTGTGTGTGTGTGTGTGTATTTATTTCATCCAAATTGAGTTTGAATGCTGCGCAAGTGGGCAGGACATGGACAGGCAGGCATAAGCTGATACAAGTTGTGTATCATGCAACCTGATTTCTAAGTGTGATTCCTTGTAGCCTGTGTGGGTGTGTGTGTGTGTGTGTCCGTGTCAGTGGCTGGCTGTGTGTGTATCTGCCTTGTTGCCCCGTTTGTTTTTCACTTCAACTCCGCTTGATCCTGGGACCAGAACTGGGAATTCTTACTTACATTTCTCAATTGCCGTCGCTTGTCTCTCTCTTTATCGTTGCTGTTGTTGTTTTTGTTGTTGCTGTTTTTGTTGTTGCTGTTGTTGTTGTTGCTGTTGTTGGCTTTGTTGCTTTACGACGGCGGCAGCCAGCATCAATCTCTGTCCAGCATTCGGGCATCTTTCTTCTGTATCTTTTTTTCGATGCTGTGTGTTTGCTTTGCGCCCGTCGCCTCGGGCCAAAACACCTCAGCGGCAGCGCGCAGCAGTGACTGTTGTTGTTTCGGGTCTATTTTATATTTATTTCGTGCTTTGCTCACAAGTTGTGTGTGTGTGTGTCGGTTGGCTGGGCGGCTGCTTGCCCGGGTGGTGAGGAGCAAGGGCTGGGGCAAGGGCATGTGCAAAAATATGAACTCACACAGACACAGGCAATACAATTTAAGTTGACGTTGAGCAGGCACCAGGACGACAGTATATATGTATGTATATGCGTGTGTGTGTGTTTGTGTGTTTGTGTGTTTGCTAAAGTGCGTGTGTATATTTTAAGTATCCTGTTTGCGCTGCTTTGCTGCTGATGCTGTGGCTTCTGTTGCCTACTTTCTGGCGCTCGAAGCCTCGTATTCCTTTTATTTGGCTTGGCTCTTCTTGTCGCTGTTGTTGCTTTGTTTAGTATTATTTTGCGTAAATAGAATTTACGTGTTCTCGACACGTTGTGCCCGCTGATACTTGTATATGTGAGTAGCTCCGACGTGTACATACATCCATGGCATGCAGCATTCGATGCTCTTGTATTGGTAAATTAACTTTGATTACTCGCTGTGCTGTTTGGCTGTCAATGGCTTTTGTGGCTGGCTTCTCTTTCTCTGCAATCCAAAAATAACGGTTTCCAGCAGCTAACACAAACGAGTATGTGTGTGTATGTATAATCCAGGTGCGAATAACAAGGTGCAGGTTAAGGCAAATTTATATTTATTGTCACATTCTCAGTGAAAAACACTCCTCAATTCAAATTAATCGTTCGTTCCTTTGCTTCTCTTTAATCTGTTGTATTTTTTGACGAACCTCTGCCTCCTCTTCTAGTTATGTGTCTCAAATTTCACCTTGTTCTTCTCCTTCCTTTACATAAACGCTCCGATTCAGCACTTCCTCTTAGTCCAGCCTCCTCCTACTTTGCTTTGCTTTCCTTTCACTGCCGCTGCTGCTGCTGCTGCTGCTGCTGGTGCTCCTACTTCGAGGATGGTGATGCCGCTGCGCTCCTTGTTTTTGCTGCTGGCCACAACAGCTGCTGCTGCACGCGCCGCACTCGGATAGCACGTGCTGTTTCCCACGACATAGAGAAATCAAAAGAGGAGCCCACGACAGGGAGCCCACGACATATACCCCAAGGATATTTCAAATGTTGCACTGTGCACAAAGTTGCCCGAGAATGTTGCCCACGATACACACTGGGCATAACTGCCAAGCTAGCGGAATTTGAGTCAAATTTTGATTTACCAAAAACGAAATTTGTTTATTTTTGGATTCGGTCACTAATACATTAGTACGTATCCGATATTTGATTCTGATTGTTGATTAGAATCAATAGCCGAGTCTATATCAGTCTGTCTGTCCGTCCGAACGTCCGAACGTCCGTCCGTCCGTCTTGTTTGTCGGCTGGTTCTCAGAGAATATACAAGTTAGAGCCCCCAATTATAATTCTTGAACCACACTTGTATCAGTGTGATATCACAGTAGTCTGGAAGCAAAATTCGTTGGCTCTAGCTCTTATAGTCTCTGAGAACTAGCCGACAAACAAAACGGACAGACGGACAGGCGGACGGACGGACAGACATGGCTATATCGACTCGGCTATTGAAACTGATCAAAAATATGTACATATACAAATATACTTTGTGGGGTCGCAAACGCTTTCTTGTGTGTGTTACATTTTGTCCCCACAAATACACTTTTGCAAGATTGCCTTCGGACATAACCCTACCACGAAGCATTTTGTCGAAACAATTCAAATTCACCTTAAAAAACTCGTATTTTTCCTGTTAATGTAGTCTGTGTAGTTCTGAAGTTTTGACTGCATGAACCTGCCTTTCTTTTTAATAGACTGCGTTAAATGAAGCCCAAACTCATAATAATTAGTATTAATTATTTATATTTTAGAATGAAATAATATTTATTTTTTTTTATGTCATCAAAAAATAAATAAAACAAAAAAATGTTTTGTATTTAAAAAACAATTAAAATTATTCACAAAAAATGTCTGTTAATGTTTTCTAAAAACGCCTTTTATTATTATTATTAAACAACACATTTTGTTTTCCGCTAAATTTTCCTTTTATTCCGCTAAATTTGCGAAAATTCCGCTGTGATATGCAAACAAAAATACTCATGCCCATGTTGGGGAACAATGTTGCAGCACTTTGCTGCGATGAAATTCCCATGTTGCGAGGGAGAAATATCCCTGAAAGGAGAGTGAAAATCCCCCACCATAAAGAGAGCAAATTCAGCTCTCAGTACGATTCTCGGAACCAGTTCATTAAGAGGATTTAGAGAAAATTCAAAAAACCTTTAACGTTCACATTCTTTCAACAATGTAATTTAATAGATTAATGAAAACAATTAAAAATTCCTGGAGCCTCAGCAAAATAGTGTGTATATTTGAGGTACTATTGACATTTTTCTAACCAAAAAAAATAAGAGAGCCCTTCTGTTACCATGCCTCTTTTTTTGCTTATCAAAACGTGCCACACAAGGAGAAAGCAGGCGGCAGAGAGCTCTGACAAGGTGAAGGTGTCCGTTGAATGCATGTGTATAAGCCCCGTGCATTGACTTTGCAGAACTGGAAATCCTGTCGCATAATGCGCCTTTGTATGCAATTAACATTGAGTGTGGTTGCCTCGCATTGTTTATATGATTTATGGCGCCCTCACAGCCATATCCGGCTTTCACAGGTGAACATACATGTACATATGTACCTACCTCCCCTGCTCAGCCGCTTATCGGAATCACAGTCCCTGGGAGAACGCAAGCATTTAACTACGGACAAATAAGAAAGGAAGTATAGCCTTGGGCGCCAAAGCTTTAGATACGATAGCTGACACTCTGTTCCCTTGGCTCGTACGAGTATGATAAAGTTTTCGAATTGTTTACGTTCCGGCATAACTATTTGATTAAACACAGTTGATGCAATACACATTCATATGTACATACTAACATGTCCATCTGCATTTTCTATTCTCACACATGCAATGGATCCTGGCCCTGTCAAAAGGAATTCATAAATTGAACAAAAGCGATTTGTATGTACTTTATCTAGTTGCATATGCCAGCAGCTAATCTCTACCTAAAAGCACTTTCCCACTTCCCAAACGAATAATCATGAAATTAATTAGACGGTACATTGCACTCTTCTACCACTTTCCCAGAGTCCAAATGCAGTCAATTCAGCAATAGGTAGCTTTCACAGTTACTTACCCACTTCCTTTGAATCCTTTGACTTGTGGAATCCAAACTGCTGCTGCTGCTGCTGCTGCTGGCGAAGTGCCGCCAGCCGAAGTGCGCTTAGAAATGTCGAGTCGAGCACTCAAAATCATAGCCATGGCCCAGAGAAGGGTTTTCCTTGAGTTGGAAATTCCCGCCTTCGTGTTTTGTATGCAGAACTTTGGAAAGGGCCGCTGATTCAACGGAAATTCTGCGAATGACTGACGGGGCTGTCAACTCAAAAACACAGCGCTGCGTGGGCGGAAGGAGGGAGCCTGTTGCATGCACGTGGCGTGCCACAACCTCTTTAATAAGCGCCACTTTTCCTTTTGATTTTATTTACCGAACGGAGTAGACTGACTTGTTGCAAAGCCCGAAATGTTTAATTAAATTCCGTTTAAAGGGAGGCCCACCAGAGAAGCGGCAGAAAGCAGAAAGCATAAAGGGAACGTGGCGGATAGTAAGTAAGTTGGTAAGGGATGGAGCGGAGCCGTTACCTACGGCAGCAAGAAGGGCAGCGATAAGGACTCTACAAGTTTCCACTGCTCGGCGCACTAAGCGGATTTAATTTAATTAGTTCCCGCTGCGCTCCGAGTCTCAACGGTGTTGCCTGCCAGGAGACTGGCGACAATGGCAATACACCAGCTGCAGCACCCACCATCATATCATCATTCAGCGGCAGCCGGGGAACAGTTTCATACGATGCGCAGTTAGCAGCAGAGCAGCCACCACATTTCAAAAGAAAAGAAGAGACAAAAGCCAAGGTCAGAAGCCCCTCGATCCCACTACGTTCCCCCTCCCCCAGCGAGAAAGAGCGAGGGAAAGAGGGAAGGAAAAGAAATGGCCGCATGTCTCAAATGTCTCATGGCAAATTGTCAGGTGCTAAGCTTTGATAAAGTACACTCAACAGAAAAAAGTTAAGCCCTCACATGCCCAGTGCAGGGCACTAGTGTGGTGGGGAGTGGGTAGTGGGTAGTGGAAAGTGGAAAGTGGAAAGTGGTGGGTAAATTTCCCTAACACAACGCGACAGATAAGAGGGTCAGAGTTGGTCTTTGAATGTTGCGTGTGTACGAGTATGGTATGCGGTGAGGACGAGGGCAGGGGCAGAGAGGTGTTGTGGGTCCTGGTAATTGAAACGCTTATTTCAACAAAATTGGCATGCCCTGGAATAAGTCTGCGGTTTTCGGTGTTGCTTTACTTGTGTGTGTGTGTGAGGGCGTAGGGTTTTTGTTTATGGTTTATTGTTATTGTTTAACTTTCAACTTTTAGCTTGTGTCCATGCGAGCCCCGGCTCCGGCTGTATGTATATATGTTTGTATGTTTGTATGTTTGTGTGACTGCTGTATGTGTTGTGCGTGCTTTTGGACCAAAACCGAAAAGGCCAGGCCTAAGCAACACCATAAAATGTAACGCGCTCCTTGTTTGTGGAAGAAGGTCTAGCACGCACATAAATCATCTAAGAACTTATCACTTCATTTTATAACAAATTTGAAAGTGATTGAAATTGAAATGTTTCCAATGGCGCGATATCAAGTGTATTTTTAGAGCAGCAAAAACAACGGGCCAATATCTAAAAATCCGAATTGTCAATAGATTAGAATAGATATAACATTAATTGATGGGTATTTAATATACTAGCTATCATGATCGGAAGGAATTTCCAATACTACACTCGTATTACAAATATTTCACCTTTCGTGTCAGAACGGTTTAAAAAAAGGTGAGATCTTGTATGTTGTTCTTAAGCACCATAAGACAATGAATTTTGACACAGTAGATATATGTATACGATGTATAAGATAAGAAATGAAATTAAATCATTTATGATCTTATAAGTGTCCGCTTAGCTAAGCGGAATGGAATGTCTTACAGATAGGAACGACCGATATGTATAGGCATAAAATACTTTGGACCTCCCTTGCTTGCTATCATTCATATAATTTGCATCTGCATATCCGATATCTACTGTAGTATTTTCAGGCGTAGTTTATTTGCTCAGCGTTTTCGGCGTGCACTCTCGCCAAAGTTTTTTTAGCTATCGTGTCGTATTGTGTGCATTAAGATTTCCATTTGACTTACCCTTGTTGATGGTGGGTTGGCGGAGAGGGTACAGCATCCGTATGACGCGATAAAGAACGTTGCTTCACTTACTATGTGTGGTTGAGTCCATCTGCACTAGTCGAGACAAGTAGTCTAGGCGGAACGGTCCGAAGTGGCAAACGGCAAAGTAACTTGGCGGCGAGGTGCGAGAATGGAAATATTATACAAGTTCGGAGGCAAAGAGGTTTGGAATTATACAAATGTTCAGTCCACGAACTTTATAGGTAATTTCGCAACAATGTACGTATGTACATATTTTTACATATAAGAAGCCAGATTATGTATTTCTTTTTTTTTGTTTTTGTTATTTTTCGTTTCCTTTCGCTTTCTAGGGCTTGTTTGTGATAAGCTCGCGATTTGCTCAATAAACAGTCCACGCCGTAGAGGGGCTCGGAGACAGAGGCGCGAAGCATCCGTGACACTTTATTGTGATTTTCTTGGGCGCCGACCGCTTTTGTGCATTTAATAGGCACGAAAGAAAGAAGCAGAGCCCTGAGAAATTGGTCGCAATAACATTCACGCAATTCTGGCGCGATGGCTACTTGACGATGAACTTAAACCCATCACGAGAGCACCCATCAATGTTTTCTAGGTACATTCTGATAGCCATTTGATTTGTCCATTACATTTTGGGTGCATTCGGTTATTTAAATTTGGCAGTTGCGGCAATATTGTGAACTATTTCGAATTTACAAGTCCGATTGGTTCGCAGCTGTTTCAAGTCGGATCTAGTTACTCTCAATAGGAGCAGCTCAAGTCGATTACCGATAGTTCCAGCGACACGGTCTGG